ATGGACATATGACGGTATTGGTTCTGCCTATCCAAGAACAGGGGACAGCTTTCCATTTTTCTGGTGTCCTCCTCCATCTCCTTTTCCACAGTTCTGTGGTTTTTGTTGTAGAGTTCTTTTACTTCCTTGGTTAGGTTAACTCTTTAAGTATTTAATTTTGCCTTTGATTGTTTTTAAACATGTAAAGTTATAGCCAAGGATGAAATTTTTTTAAAGAATCAAAACTACATAAAAGTGCCACTATGCGTAACCTCATTTATTTGTATAATAATGTCAACAACCATATATAGTGCTTACTCTGTGTCAGATTCTGTTCTGATCACTTAAAAATATTAATTCTTAGTGCTCATGTTATAGGCCATGCAGGTCTGCAATGCTTGCTCCTTCCCAAAGTCTTGTGGTGAAAAGGGAAAGTGGATTTATTTGAAACTAGTTCCAAAGGAGATGGAGGGACTTCTGATGACCTCTCCTCACCCTCTCACTGTGTCCAAGGCATTTATCATAAGGCAGTGACGGAAGAAATACAGTGAGACAGTAGACAGCAGAATGTCCACATTGTTCCATGAAATAAGATATCAATGTTATTTTACAGAAATGAAGGCACAAAGAAGCTGAGTAACTTGTTCAAGGTCACACAGCTAATAGATAGTGGAGAGACTTGAACCAGGCTTTCTGGCTCCAGGGCCCATGCTTTCATTACTATTAAGTTCCACCCTTTACTAATTTAGAATTTGCAGCCCTCAGATGGGCACTGAACTTTAGCTTTTATAATATCTCTGAAATGTGAGGTTACCAGCTAGTAGAAATTAATGCTATCAGCAAAACTATAAAGTTAACTTTATGTGAAAAGAAATTGTTTACATGACAGCAGTCATTTAAAACAAACAGCTGGTGTTTTTATTGCAAATTATTTTTGTATGTTATCAAAGGACTGGAAGGACATTGAGGGGGTTAACTTTTTTTCTTAATTTGCTGTGAAAGTAGTTACATATGAAAGTAATGAAGAATTATATTTCTTGAAAATCTTGGAAAGATTGGTTTTTTTTTTTTTTTTTTTTTTCAGTACTGGGGATCGAACTCACAACTTTGTTCTTGCCAGGCAGGCGCTTATGCCACTGAGCTGTATCTTCAGCCCCAAGATTGGTCTTTTTTAAGAAAAAGCAAAACCAGTGAAGCTTTCTCTTTGAATGGACTGAAGCCCAGCAGAGTCGTTAGCCACGTGTGTATTCATTGTTACTGTGCTGACAGAAGAGCATTATTTGTGGGAGCAGTGTCCCAGTTAGTGAAGATGTGGCCGTCCTGTTAGTCTGCAGTTTTCTGGTTGTCATTCTTCTGGATCCTTTTATTTTATGGTGTCCATTGAGAGGCAGAGGCTCTGGGTGCCCCAGAGAGATACTCACATTGTGTAAGTTATTGCAGCAAGTGGCCCGGCTAAGTCTAGGTGGCAGGTTACATATGGGTCACAGAGCTAGAGAAGGGTGAGATTTTCCCATGGCACCGCTGTCTTGTGCTCTCATGGGATCACCCCCTCCTGCCCCCTTGAGACTCTCTGGGGTGCAGTCATGTCCTGAATGACAGGGCTGTGACATAATCTAGGCCAGTTTTTCAAAGTGTAAGTGAAGCTTCGGAAGCAGTCAGTCCATCTTGGAGATGCCCAGCCAACATTAGATGACCCTGAATCACGTAGTAAGGCGGGTATTTCCTCTTCTGTTTTCTTTCCATCTTTCCCTCTATTAAAGATGAATGTCTCAGTTTTGGATCTCACATATTTAACTCTTCTCGTATCCTTCAGAATCTCTTTTATAACACATAGGGCAGGTATCTCACACTCCCAGCTTTGATAGGTAAGTGTATTTAGAATTTAATTTCATTGCTTTGCCTTTCTTTCTTGCTTTCTCTCTTTCTTTCTTCCCTCCCTCTGTCTCTCTCTTCCTTTCCCTCCCTCCCTCCTTTCCTTCCTTCCTTCCTTCTTTCCTTCTTTCCTTTTTGTCATGTGTGGTGCTGGAGACTGAACCCAGGACCTTATGCATGCTGGATAAGCTCTCTACTCTGTGCTATGTCCCAGCTTTCCCTTCTGCTTTTGACAGGGAATCTTGGCTGTTTACACTGAGGATAAGCTATTTCTTTAAAATAAAATTTTATTTAAAGAAAAAAGACGAGTCTCTCTGAAGAAAGTATTAAAAAACATAATAATACCAGTGATATGTAGCTATGGAAAATTGTGAATTTGGTAGAGGAATGGCAGAAGCTTGAAAGTGTTGGTCTAATGCCAGATACAGCTAACTTTTTAGAGATTTGTGGTCTCTTCTTTGAAACTGTTAGGACCACATTTGTTTTGAAATTCAGCATTTTCAGATGTTTTTGGCATGGTCTTTGCATATGGAAGCACTGGGCAATGCCCTCTCAAGCAGGGTGTTATTTCTTCAGCAAATGTATGAATGTCCACTCTAAGTGGGGTGAACAAACACAGTCTGTGCATGAGCTCAGCTCTGACCCTTTCACCAAGTATGCTTTTGAACCAAAAATGAGGAAAAGTTGATTTTTCAGAGTTTTCTAGATTTCAGAGTTTTAGCTAAGAGGTTGTGTAGTCTTGATAACCCAATTATATCACTTTTTTAGACCTCTAATCAAATCATACATAAAACAAATTATACTCCAACTTGGACAAAGTACCTGGACTCTGTCCTCTTACAGTTTATTTCAGTAGTTGGACATGATCTTGGCATAGATTCTGATCTACCTTCCAGGGCAGGTAGACTTGCCAGGGAAGGAAAGTCAGATCCAAGCCTTTCACCTTCATATATTAAAACATCAGGAATTTCTGGTTTTGCTCATCTCTAGAGCAAGCGGTCAGTGTTCTTTGGTCATTAAGGACATGGCTGTTGGGTGACTGGACAGTGCATCTCCTGGAACTGCTCAGTCTGGGGAAGTATTTAATTTGACTCTGTGTTTTAAAAATGAGGTCCATCTGTTGCTTGCAAAGATCTGGCTGAATATCGTGTTAGCTCTTAGGTCAGGGTAGTTGTCAGTGAAGTCCTAATTGGGCAGTGATTAAAGAGAAGCAGGAACAGCTCCTAAATGTGATGGCTGAAATGCCAGGTGTTTTACGGTCTCTGAAAATAGGACACCAGAGAGCAGTTAAGCTGGATTAATTACACTTCAGGGACCCATGCTGAGTCGCTGATGGTTGTTTTAAAAACGTTCTGTAGAATGACAAATGCGCAAGTATTTCTTCCTTCAGAACACACTGAAAGCATTTTGTCAGGTCCTTGATTTATAGCCTTTGGAACCATGCTTCTCTTTTGTGTAATTAGAATGAAGATGTATAGTCATTGGGCATAAAGGTTACACTTGGGGAGTATTGTGGACTTCGTAGATGATCTTGCTAGGTATTTAAATAAGTTAATAAAACAGTATCTCATGATATAAGAAGAAAATGTTTTCACTTATTTTGTGTATTTTTTCAAGAAGCTTAATAAAATCTCATTTCTGGAGGAAAAAGTAGATTTAGATTTAGAATCTGAAGCTGGGGCCATTTGGCTTGTACAGTGTGTGCAAACTTTTATATCAGCCAGGACTTTCTATGAAGGAGTAGAATTTGTAATTACTGTACAACAGTACTCTTTTTCATTTCCTGATTCACCCCTGCGGGCTCACCCAGATTGTATGCTATAGGCAAGAGGCAGTGGAATGTGTGCCATTTCCCCTGGCACAGAGGCAGCACTGTCCCTTTTGTACCCGCTTCAGAAAACTCCCTGGGATGTGAGGATGCTTTGGAAGTGACACTGAACTTACCCAAATAAAGTCATTCACAGCTCCCGATAGTCTCCTATTACAGCACACTCTGATTAGTATCAAGGTCTTGTACCTCTGATAGAATGTGCTTAAAAGTGATTACTCTTAATAACAACAAAAATAATGATGCAGACATCAAGCACTGCGTGTCCTCTGCTCTATGTGTCTGAGCTCCATCCCTCCTCATACCCGCGCTCTGAGGAAAGCAGACTAATGACCACTTCTGTGGATGGAGACACTCTGCGTGTCTGGAGGCTGAACAAATGCGGCGGAGGCACAGGAAACAAGGCCTTCTGGAGTGGATAGGTTTTACCGCCTCCAGCTCTTCTTTGTTCCCTACAAAGACAGCATCTCTGCTTTCCGGGACTCAGTTTTAAGCAGCTCCATCTATGTAGAGCAAAGCTGAGAACGGGGCAGCAGGTCACACATTTGCGTAATTAAGACGAAAGAAAACTCCGCGTACAGGACCGCGTGGGTCCTGCAGTCACTGCAGAGCCAGGTCTGCTGGGCATCTACCGTCTTCGGACTTTTGTCAAGAGTCCTTGAATGTGAAGCTGCCACAGGCCGAGAGCCCCAGCACAAGCATTAATTCTTCCGTGTGGTGGAGAAGGAGACAGAGAGATTGAGTTAATCTGTTGGAAATCTAAGGAGAAGATCTAACATGTTACACAGATCCCTAATGGCAGGGAAAGTGGGCATATATTTATCGCTCTAGAAATACTCATTCAACATAATGCTGAGACAACTGAGAAGTTTTGGAGATAGAAGAGACTTGCATGTAGATCTTAAAATATGAAGACAACAAAATGCCAGCTTTTTTTTTTGCCAAAGAAAATGATTTTTATTGATACATTTTAGGTATTCATAATGATCACATTCATCGTAGGGAAGTTGTGCCTGTACATGATACACAGTAACTTTATTCTTCCCCCACCATTCCTTACCCCTCCCTTCAGCTCCTCTTCCTCTCCTTACTTACAAAATCTTTGTTTCCATTTTTTCCTTCTTTTCTCATTTTTAAAAACTTTTCTTCTTCCTTCCTTTCTTCCTTCCAGCACTCAGGACGCTGAGGCAGGAGTATCGCCACGAGTTTGAGGCCAGCCTGGGCTGGCCAACTTTAAAAATGCACTTGATTTTTTTTCTTAGGGCTTGACTGTAAAATAAATTCCTTCAGTTTTATTTATGCTGTTTCCATTTTCCTCAAGGTCGCTCCTGTGATGTCCTCAGGAAGCCCACATATCCCGCAGTGTTCCCCGGGGCAGGCCAGCTCTCCGACAACATCCTGAATGGGGGCGAAGAGGTCTATGCCAACTGCATGGTGGTAGATCAGGTGAGGCACCGCCGCCCTCTGGCTCCTTCTAAAAGTGTGTGAGTGGCGCATGCAGTGCCACCTAGCAGTCCCCGCTCACCAGCTTGGAACTTCTGTCCCTGTGTCAGAACACACCTTGCCCCACTGAGCAGCCGCGTAAGGGCTGGGTCCTGTGATGCTAGCAGATGAGAGGACGCCCAAAGCCCTTTCGTGGCACCAAAGTAGGAAGTGATAACACAGGACCAGTATATCATCCGTGGCTTTTCAAGGAACCGTGTCTGCGTGACTTGATCGGGCAGTGTTGGTATTCAGATGCAGCAAACAGAAGCGAGAGAGTGCCTGTTTCCAGATGGGAATGGATGCGTCGCACGTTACTTCACCTTTACGATCCATCTGTAAACATGTCCTAAGGCTATGGCACTTTATTAGTATAACAGAATGGCATCGTTCTGGGGAAGCTGGAATCTTAGCATTTTCTGCTTACTCCCTGGTACAGACTTGTGAGTTAAATCTCATAAAGGCAGAGAGGGCTTGCAGGTGCCAGCATCTACTTAGCTTTGTTCTTTTCTCTCAGTGTTCTTCAAATTTTCATATTTGTAAAAATTAAAATATAGATCTGAAGATCTCTGCCCAATGTAATTTATGACAATTTTTCATAGATGATTTTGACACAAGATTTTTGCCTTATCTTCTAACTTAAAAATTTAATCTCCATATAAGATACACAATAAATACTAACTGGGCAAAAGGTATTTTATCTTTCTGTTGTTAACACACCTTCGTATTTTTTTCAGTGCTCCCAATATTATTTTTTATGTAATGCTAAAAATTAAAAGTAAAAATGGTAAATCTAACAAATGACAAAATGCAAGTGTTATTTCTATGGTATGATTTAAAAAATACATATAATAATTCTAACATCTGAGATCACACTTCAGTTGATATGAATTTCATATACACACGAAAAACACCTTCAACTTTAAAACATGTAAAAGTTAAAAGGTGTCACACTTTAAAAGTAGTTGGTAGCCAAGGAAAGATATATAGTAAGAGTTGTAAGGCAGTTTTACATTTTCATAACTTTAAATGTGAGGTCACATGAAAGACAGTACATGTATTAAATCAGGTAAATTGTTAAATCAAAAGAGGGAAAGTTTCAGAAAATTTTTTCTATTTTCTAGTAGATCTCAATGTCAGCCTTTAGTCAAATAACTCTCTTTGTTCCTGTAGTGTTACAAAGCATTAGAAGAACAAATGCATAGTATAAATGGCAGAGATTGGGGTGGAATTCAGAATGACAGAGAAGGTAATAAATTAGAAGAGACATCAGTTGTGAATAACTGGTAGAGTTATCTTGATATAAACCAGTTGAATGTCAGCCCTCATTGTAAAAATCTAGGTTGGAGCATGGGACAAAGTGGTAGTTTGGGGGACAGTCTTTCAAGGGACAGGTTAGTTGGACTTCATGTGCCATAGTTACTCTCTGAGACATGTACGTGCGTCTATATGGAATGTATGCATACAGCCGTGGCTTGGTACTCATCTGCATGGAACTCCTGGAATTTGTACTTGACACATTCTGGTGGAAGAATTATGCCTTGGTACTTGTCACTTATTTGATACTTGACGCACAAGGTAGAACTCGGGGTACCGACTGACTTGTGACTCTACTCTTTCCACCTAAAACAGTTTGTTTGGTACTCATCACTTTTGATACTTATGCTTCCAGGAACCCATTAACACCGAGTACTGCTGTATCATTGTATGCACATACACACACACATGGTTTGTTGTTTTATTAATTTATGATAATATATTACTATATTTTGCAGCTTTTCAAAGTATAGTTAACAGTAGTATATGTACTTACAGTATACAATACGACATTCTGATATACATTGTTGAACATGACCATGATGAAACTCACTGTTGTCTTGTCATTATGAGAATACTTGGGGCTGGGGATTTAGCTCAGTGGCACAGCACCTGCCTGGCAAGTGGAAGGTCATGAGTTCAATTCCCGGTACCGGAGAAAGACCAAAAAAACAAAAATAAGAGAATACTCAAGATTTACTATTGGCAAATTTCAAATATACAGCACATTCTTGTTAATGGAGTCACCATCCTGTACCTTTGGCCTCCAAAACTGACCATTGTAGGACTGAAAGCTTTTACCCTTTGCCCAACAGCTGCCCATTTCTCTCGTCCACTAACCCTTGCTAGCCACCCTTGTACTCACTGTTCCTATGAATATTAATTTTTAAGTTTCCATATATGAGACCCTACAATATTATGTTTGTGTTTGGCTTATTTTAATTAGCAAAATATCCTTCACGTTTATTCATATTGTCACAAAAGGCAGAATTTCTTTTTTTTTTTTAAAGCTGAATACCCACCCCCCGTGTAATGACACACACATGCCATGTATATATATATATGTATTTGTTTTAATCAGCTCAGCATTTGATGGGCACAGGTTAATTCTGTGTCTTGGCTATTGTACATAGTGCTGCCATGTACAGGAGAGTATAGATATCCTTGGGGAGAATGACTATTTCCTTTGCACATGTACCCAGCAGTGAGACTGATGGATCATGTGATAGCTATACTTTAGTGTTTTGAGGAAGCCCTGTACTGCTGGACATAGCAGCAGTAGCAATTCCCATGCCCACCCAAAGTGTACAGGCCACCCCTCTCTCCACACCCTCACCAGCACTGCTTTTCTGACTTGTTGATAACAGCCATCCTGACAGGTACACCGTGATTTTATTTGCATTTCCCTGATGATTAGTAATGGTCGGCATCTTTTCATATATCTGGCGGCCACTCATTTGCCCACTTTAAAATCAAATTATTTGTTTTTACTTCACTATTGAGTTATATAAGTTCTTTGTAGACTTTGGCTGTCAACCCTTATCAGATAAATGGTTTGTAAATCTTTTCTCCCATCCCAGAGGAATCCTTCTCATTTTGCCAAGCATTTTCTTTGCTGTGCAGAGACTCTTTTGTTTGTTGTAGTCCTGCTTATTTATTTTGCTTTTATTAACTTACGTTTTTTGCACTGTTTTATATTGCTGCCAAGACCAATGTCATAGGGCTTTTCTCCTGTGCTTTTTTCCTAGCATTTTATGATTTTAGGTTTTATATTTAAATCTTTCATCAATCTTGAATTGATTTTTTTGTGGTATTAGAAAAGGATCCAAAAAAGGGGGATCCAATTCCTTTCTTCTTTCCTTCCTTCCTTCTTCCCTTCCTTCCTTCCTTCCTTCCTTCCTTCTTTCCTTCCTTCTTCCCTTCCCTCCCTCCCTCTCTCCCTGCCTCCCTCCCTTTTTTTCCTTCCTTCCTGCCTGCCTGCCTGCCTGCCTTCCTATGGATGTCTCATTTTCCCAGAATCACTTTATTGAAAAGATTGTTCTTTCCCATCATGTTGTTTTTGCAGCTTTGTTGAAAGTTAGTTGACTGCGTATATGTGGGTTTATTTCTGGACTTTCTATTCTGTTCCATTTGTCTATGATAGACCCATACTATTTTGATTATTATAGCTTTGTAATATATTTTGAAAGCAGGAAATGTGATGCTTTTAACTTTGTTCTTCTTGCTTAAGAAGGCTTCAGTTTTTGTGGGTCTTTTTGGTTTCACACAGATTTTAGGATTTTTAAAAAATTCCTGTGGAAAAAGTCGTTGAAATTTTGACAGGGATTGCACTGCATGTGTAGATCCCATTGGATATTATGGACATTTTGAGAATACTAATTCTTCTAATCTATCGATACAAATGTGTCTTTCCATTTATTTGTGTCATCTTAAAATTCTTTCACCAGAGTTTTATAATTTTTATTCCGCAGATCTTTGCCATGTTCTGATATTAATAGGTTTGTTATCATGTCATATTGTCTTAAAATAGTTCAAATGAAAGAAGTCTTGGGTCCTTATTTTGTTTTGACTCTCAGGGAATACTATAATATATCCATTTACCTCAATTAGCTAAAATTATCAATGACAATTTGTCATAAGAGTATCATGTGGGGAAAAGGGTCTTATGTGTTCCAAGATGTGTTAAAAATGAAACACTTTCCAAATCAAAGATGAAGTTAGGATATAATTCCTTTTTAGGAATATTTGGGGTAAGAAAAATATTGCTTTATAATGTGAAACAAACAAATTTGAAACAAACAAAGACCCATACGGTTTTGATTATGTATAGCTTTGTAATATACCTTACAATGTATTTATTTGTAATATATACTTAATACTGTACTATTTAAAGAGAATCTAAACAACCTGGTTAAGTGAAATGAAGCACAGAGAAGATTGCTAGACTTGTGCACTTAAAACTGAGGAATGAAACTACATCTATACATAAATTACAACATCTGTTCTATCAGCGCAGCATGTACCACTTGAACAGCAATGGAAACGCAAAGATTCCAATTCTGCTTATCTTATATAAGTTTTACAGCATTTTAAAAGAATTTTATCTAACTGCCTTTACCTGACACAGTGCCTGACATGCTCCCTTTACCTTTCCCTCAACCTGACACAGAAACCTAAAATCATTTTTAGTTTATGTCTACTGTCTCCCATTAATTTTTAAGGTTATTAATCTACTCAATGAGGATACTTCTATGGTGAAAACTAATTTAAACATTTCTTCATCATATAAACTACTTCCAAACATTGTATTTGGATATACTTTCGGGCCTAGTTTCAGCACAAAGAATCCCTGCATGCATTTTATTCCAGTTCCTCCAAAGTTAATATTTTACCACATTTTATTTTATTACTCTCTGTGTATGTACCTGTGTATGCAAATGTATAAAATATGTATGTAAATTTTTTAAACATCTGAGAATAAGCTGAAAATGTGGTGATCCTTTATTCCTTAACTGTTCGTGTTGCATTTCCCTAAAAACATGGTTGTGGTCTGATATAAGCACAGTGTAGGGAAGGAAACCAGGAACTGTCACTGATAAAATACTGTTATCTCTCTCCAGACCTATTCAGTTTTAGCCAGATGTCCCACTAATGTTCTTTGTAGTGAAAGAGAATTCCACACTACCTATTACATTTAGTTGTCACTTCTCTTTAGTCTCATTTAATATGGAATAACTCCATAGTTTTTTATGACATTGATATTTTTGAAGAATAGAGACTATTTTTGTTTTTGTTTCTGTTTCACTAGGATGTCCTTCAATTTTGGTTTGTCTAATAGTATCTCCTCATAACTGGATCCCGTATTTGGGAGGAATACTGCGGAAATGCTATCGTGTTCTCAGTGAATTTTACCAGGAGGCACGGGAACATCAATCTGTTCCTTTACTGATGATTTTATCTATCTTTGATCTGCCAAGTGTCTCTTCCGTGAAGTTATGACCTTCTTTAAGTTATTAAAAAAATTGTTGAGTTATGTTGAGTCTGTGCAAACATCTTATTCATTAGACTTTTATCTACTAGTTTTAGCATGCATTGATAGTTTTTGCCTTAAGTAAATGTTCATAGCAATATTAAAACCCTCCCCCCCTTTTTTTTCTCTTCACACCCTATCTTTGGGATCTCTCTCTCCCTCCCCACCCTCTCTCTTCCCCCTCTCTTACCTGGGATTGAATTCAGGGTCAAGTGCATGCCCCTCTACTGAGCTCCACCTGCACCCCTGTGCTGTCTTTACCTGGTATCATGCAGTTTCTTATTACTGTCTGATTCCCCAGGAGGGATGCCTTTTGATGACCACCTCCTTAAATCACAAGTGCTTTTCAGCCTCTTTTATGAGTGCTTTGATCAATCAGGACTGTTTTCTGTGTGCAGGTTTCTTTCTGATGATGAGTTTTAGTTACGTTCTCCATTCACTTTTGTGAGATGGCTTTTACTCTTTGCAGTGGGACTGTGAGGGGCTGTTTGCTGGACTTGATGCTTATTTTAGTATTTATATGTAATTTGAAGATTAGGGTATTTCCTACCTTCTCACTCTGCAGTTTGGATGTGCACTGTATAGTTTTATTTATTTATGTTTTTTGTGGTGATGTTGGGGAGACTTAGATTTATGTGGCTACCATCACCTTGGTTACTCAGATTCTGATGAACTACTTTTTGCAAAAAAAGCTGTGTACTTTTTTTTTTCCTCAAGTATTTCAGATATTTCCTCCTCATTTTGAGTAAGTAGTTCATAAAATGTTAAAAGCATAACCAGTTTCTTGTTTTGTGATATAGAACAAGTATACAAAACAGTCTTCCTTTTTATGAATTATAGGCTAGCAGTCACATGGACAAAAATAGATCGTGAAAGAATTCTCTGTTTATAGAAAACAAAATAAAAACTAGAAAAAACAAAACAAAAAAAGATAAATGAGGTGGATGGACTTTATTATTTATTTATTTATTTATTTCTGAGACAGGGTCTCGCTATACAGTTCAGGCTGGCCTTGAGCTCACTATGTAGCCCAGGCTGGTCTCAAACTCACAATGATTCTCTTGCCTCAGCCTCCCAAATGCTGGGATTACAGGTGTGTGCCACCATGCCTGGCTGATGGATTTTAAATGAGTAGATTTTTAATTAATTCTTAGCCAAGTCACTCTTTACTGCTTTTCTTCAGCAAATTTCTTTCCCTCCACTTCCAGGTTGGCGATTTGGATATCAACTATATTAACATTGAAGGACTCTCAGCCCACACTGAACCTGACTCCATGGGTTCAAATCTGGGCTCCCACAGCTGCGAGCACCTGGAGCACCTGGTTCCTGCTCACACCCGCGCCATCATGTACTCACTCAGGGAGAATGGCAACCTGGCCCTGCATGCCGAAGCCCGGCAGTGCGTCCCCTCGCCGACCAGAGCAGGTCCTTGCAACTTGAATATTCCTTTCGGTCTTCATGAGTTTGTAATGGAACAAAGTTCTCTGAAGAAGAGAAGGTAAGATGCCATATTCTAGTGGAAAATTGTGGAAAAATCGAAGCACTTTGTAGCTAGATTGGGAAAATTATATTTTTGATTATTTATTGTCTCCCATACTGTTACTTCTACATCAAAATGTTTCCCCCTTTTGTTTCATATAAATGGTGACTTTTAACTAAGGCATTTAGGGAAACTGAGTAAAATATAGTAGAGGAAAGCCACAAGGAGACACCATTTTACACTTACTATGTTGACAGAGGTTAAAAAGTCTCATACCAGGTTTTGGTGAGTGTGCATACAAGGGAAACTCGGGCAGAAATGAAAATTGTGTGACAGCTTAGGGAAAGAGCTTGACATCATCCTGTGAAGTCATATAAGCATTTCCATACCAGGTGCGAGTAGACACAGAGACATAATTTATAGCAACAACAAATAATCCAAGTGAGGGATTGTCAGGTTAATAATACCCCTTAGTTGTTGTGGACTAGTCAGGCTGCAATCCCAAACAAGTGTACAGCGAAGGCTAAATAAAAAGAGGCAAATGGACTGAGTTTAGGGCTCCATGAGGATCAAAGCCCTCTCACAGAATTTGAGATTCTTTTAGAGCTAAGACCAAGACCTTCTCTGGGTCACCCATATTTATTTGGTTATCAGAAGAAGGGAGGGAAGTACTCAAGAAGGGTGGAATCTAAGGACTTCTCCAAGTAAGGTATTAAGTTAATCCACCCAGGAGTGAGATACCTGAGTCTTTAGTCTTTATCTAGTTGAGGTTGGATCCAGGTTTCCTTGGCTGTGATCTTTTCTTATCCTTTGAAACTTTCTGGCTTCACCCACCATTATTGGCCTCAGTAGGGATCAGTGACTCACAGAGGTTCACTTACTATGAGTCCACTGCCCATCTCCAGACAAGGAGCCTAGACCATGGACAGATTCACAAGTAAACATGAAAGCCCATTGGTTGACTTAAGTCCCACTTAGCATTGCTTTGTAGTGGTCTCCATCAGGGGATAGGTAAGTTTGTACAGTTTTAAATTCTGTATATGGACTACTGTACCGTAATGGAAATAGATAAATGGCATCTACATGTATAATAGCATGTGTTTTAGAAGCATGAACAGAAAGTAAGCCGCAGAATGCTTGGTCAGATTTTGTACTCTTGGAATGCAATATCAAACAGTTTATAACAGGGCACATACACATGTCGATAAGCAAGAGAGACAAAATAGCAAAAGGGGAGAGAAGTGGAGGGTTGATAATGGACTGGCCTGTGAGAGTTTTGATGGGATGGTGAACGTTCACGTTATAGGTTAGTGGGCTCTGGAGAGTTTGTTTTTTCACCCTCTGTAACTTCCAGTTACGTGTATTTTCTCACACATATAAAAATGCATTTAAACAAGAACTTCACTGTGTGTATAATTGTATATATTTGCATATGTGCCTGATCATGCCCATCCATCTTCTTGTCTGTTTTCTTTAGAGAATAACCCAACTTTCACTTACCTTAGATATTAATTTCTCTCTTACGTTCTAACTCTATGGTTATATGTTCATTTTCACACCTAAAATCATGAATGAAAATGGACATAAAATACACAGATGTGAGTGTATACATAATATTTACCTACAGTTGGGTATCCACATAGGTAAATAAATATTTAGCAGTGACTTAATTGATCAGGAAGGAGGGAAAAGGAGGGGACCTAGCAATCAGTGGGGTCCACTCACTTGACTGTATTTTGCATGGATGCATAACTTGTGGTTGTAAAACTTTAGGTGATAAAGGTTATGTCTGGTGTATAATTATAAAAGAAACTTTTGTAGATGCTGGAGAGTGGTCATTATTTTACATTGAATGGTTAGGTAATTTGGGGCTGTTGGTTCTCTTGGAGGAGCTTTAAAACACTGTTTCAGTGAAATACACATGATATGTAACCATTGCGCTATTTCTTTTTTTTTTTTTTTTTTGGTTTTTCTCTGGTACCGGGAACCGAACTCACGACCTTGCACTTGCCAGGCAGGTGCTTTGCCGCTGAGCTAAATCCCCAGCCCCCCATTGTGCTATTTCAACTTAATAGCTCTTTTGAGACACTACAAGGGGAAAATAAGCAGCAAAACAGCTATTTAAAAATCTAGACAAAAAATTAAACAAAAGAAAACAAGTATTTGTTTTATTCTAAACAAGGTTTTTCAAACTTTTTTGTTAAACAATGTCACAATATTACAAAATTTAAGTGAAGTTTTATAAAATAGCAAGTGAAATGTATTCTTATATTTTCCATCCTATTTCATTTTAAAATTAAATTCTGGTCACAACCTAAAGAATTGATTTCATACCCCACTAGTGGAATTTAGAGAAACATGATCATAAACATGAATCTATAAGTAATTTTGAGCAGTATTGTCTATGCTGTCAGTATCTTAGGTTAGTAGTTCACCAACAAAACAACAAAAAAAAGGAGTAGGCCAATTGGAGTTAACAGAAACAGAAATGGTTTTTAGTATGGAAAGTAAAATAATACTGGAATATTTCGGGCATATTCATGATGATGGAGAAATGTCTATAACTGGAAAAGCTTGTTTTAGAACAGGGTACTATTGCAAGCTCCCAGTCATTGAAAGCAAAGGTCTCCAAACTTTCTGGCACCCCAGGGACCAGTTTTGTGGAAGACAAGTTTTCCACAGATGGAGGTGAGGAGTCATACGAGGTCGCAACCTAGATCCCTCACATGCGCATGTGCAGTTCGCAGCAGGGTCCCTGGCGCCTATGAGAATCAACTTCTCCGCTGATCCTGCCAAGGCGGAGCTCAAGTAGTACCGCAGTGCAGAATGGCTGTAAAAACAGAAGAAGCTTCCCTGTTCACCTGGCTGCTGCTCCCCTCCTGGTGCAGAGCGGCTTGGTTCCTAACTGGGTACAACCTGGGGGATCTCCATTTAAAGGACTCGTTTTCATTAGTATCGAAGCCACACATGAAAAGACAGATGCAGAGGCATCCGCATACTTTGACTGTTGTTTGAATCGCCCTCCACTCAGGTTTTCGGATGTTAGGAAACAGTATCGCACCTTGAAATATCTGCAATTTAATTTTCAGTTTATTTTTAAAACGATAAATGATGTAATGGACTGCTAGACATTTGGATGTTAAATTAAGATTGAAGATCACCTCCAATTTGTCCTCTTCTGCTCCATGGCATAGTGAAGACCCTCAGTGGCTCATTAAAGGAGAAGATGCGCTCTGGAAATCTTCAGGGGTGCCATTTGGTGCCTGTACTTCCTGCCTGGTGTCCTGGTGCTCCCAGGGCCCATGAAATAGTTCAAGGGTTAGAAGTCGGTTTGGGATTTGCATTAGAAGCATGCAGAGAAAGATTTGTCTTCTAGGAGTGGCCTAACTTGTGAAACTGATATTCTATCACCTATGGTTGACAAAGAAAAATAACTCCAGTTAGCTCAAAGTTTCATCTTCTGAATATTTACAGTTAAAAATCAAGATGGTGTCATTGTGTGTGTGTGTGAGTGTATCTATATCTATATCTATCTATCTATCTATCTATATATAATGTTTTGAGACAGGATCTTGCTATGTAGTCCAGGCTGACCTTGAACTCACTTTGTAACACAGGCTGGCGGTGAGTTAGTGATGGTCCTCCTGCTTCAGCCCCTTGAGTGCTGGGACTACAGGCATGCACCACAATTATTAAAATTTTAACCCCAGGACTAAAACAACCAAAGGGGGGAAAATTTTTTTTTAAATGCACCATGTGTAAATAGAGGTGGCCTTGGCACTTGAATGGTTTAAAATGCAACTGTTTTGGAATGAACCTAGAATGTGAGCAGTCAAGTTCTTTCCTTTTAATTTCATGGTTATGAAAGTTAATGAGGAAAAAAAGTTTTAATCAGAATCACTGCCTGGTTCTGAGATGGAATCATTTTTTAAAAAGCTTCTAAAAATAATAATTTATTATAGTATTTTTGGAACCTCATGTGTTACTTATATATTTTTTGAATATTCTTTATTTTATGAAACAACAAAACAAAATTTCATAATAAAAAAAGAGGATAACTATAGTTTATACACTGTGTATGGTTATCTTCTAAATAATTAGAGTGTAAGACATGGACACAAAGATTCTTACAAGGAAACATATTAGCACAAAAAGTTCTTTGCAGTGAGCTAAGAGAAACTAGTAGGATAAATGAAACAAACTAGCATATATATTAAAATATTTTTGAAACAATGGAAAAGGTAATTTGGGGAACGGTCAAATTTCCCACTTCCTGCTTATCTACCTTCCATTTTGCTCCCCCTTGTATATATATATCTGGAGTGTCTCACATAAGTAAAACCATGTGATATTTAAGCTTGTGTGTTTGACTTATTTCTCGTCTGTGCTTTTTGACTCATCTGTGAGGTGAGAGTTTCACATGTCCCTCCTTCCTTCTGCTCTGGCCTCCTGAGCTCCCCGCTGAGACCTGCTGGGAAGAGGCCACCTCACATATTAGCACCCCCAGCAGCTGTGCCCATCAGCCTAGTGACTGTGTTGCTTGCAGTGTCAATATTTGAGGGGTTACTATGTGGGACTTGGAATAATTACATTTACAAACAAAAATAGGTTAGTACTAACTCCAACCAGCTTTTGTTTTGTAAGACAGTTGGAATGGTTTTCACTAGGTGGAAATGTTCATTTGTATAGAAAGCCCTTCTAGACCCCAGTCCAGAAAAGTCCACATTTGTAATCCCATGAAAGTTATTGGAATTCTAATAAGTTAATTCTAATCTACCACTTCCAGTGCAACACAGGGCGAGAATGAAGACACTGAGGCCTATTGGTAGTTGTGGGGAACCAAGAGGTCCTAAGTCCAGCTAGAACGATGGTTAACTGGAACAAAGGCCTTGACTCAGGGCCAAACCCAGGTTTTATTAATTCATGAAGAGGGGAGTGGCTCTGGGATGAGTGACTTGAGAGCGGCGGGAAGTACATCTGAGTGCTGTGAGCCTAGACCTGAAATCACCTTTGTAATGTGCAGAGAGAAAGAGATGCAGAAAGAGTAAACTGCATATCACAGAATGGGGCAGTATCTAGTGTTTTGGGGTTGGTGCTTCAGTTTTGCTGTGTAATCCATGTCCGGAGAAGTCATAGCCTCTTTTCTTCAGGCTTATTCTCAGCCCACACTGTGGCTTCACTTGGTCTAGCTTACACATGTTGTTTGGGAGCTGTAGGCAGGGAAGAACTGACCTGTCTCATTGCTTCAAAGACTACACATCAGTACTTAGGCTAGACCCATTTGCATTGCTTAAAGCTAATTGAAGGGATAAGGAAATGTCCTAACCAGCTCTGCACCTGTCAATACATGGAGGTAGGGCCACGTTTAGCCAAAATGGAGACAGTTGCTCTTCTTTCAAAGAGAGCTGTCTAGGTGGTTGTCTTGGTTACTTTTCTCTTGTTGCTGAGACAAAATACCCAATGCCCAAAATTAAGGAGGGAAAGGTTTATTTAGCTCACAGTTTGTGGAGGTTTCAGTCTGTACTTGGCTGGCTCCAAGGCAGAGTGGCACATGGCAGAGGGTAACAGTTCATGGCAGCAGAAGACAGCAAAAGCAACAAGAGCAAAAGGGAGGAGCGGTGGCCTGCAGCCTCTTTGCCTCCCTTACAGTGTATGCAAACTACCCTCCCCAGGGCAGGTATAGCACTCACATCCATAATTCCAGCATTGGACCGTGAATCAATCATAAACTCTAGAAGCCTGCCCCATGACTGCATGAGGATTTGAGGGGACCTCCAGGCACAAACCGTAACAGTGTTCCTCCACACATTTGGGGAAACACAAAATTTTGTTTAAAAAGAAAAGATTTAGAGCAACAGAAAAGTAATAAAAACTATTGGTAGGAAATTAAATGGATACCCACTGTATCTCACAACAAGGAAAGTATGTGAACTTCAAGAGGACGTAATATCAACCCATCTGTCTGTCTGCTTGCTGACTGGACCACTTACTTTCTCTGTGCCTTTAGTTCCAGCCTTGATGCCCTGGTTGCCAACAGTGAGGAGGAAGGATGTTCTGAGCAGCCGCACACTTGCTCTAGTCCAGTGCCTCAGAGTCCCTCAGGAACTGGGCTTCCCAGTGGGGACGAATTGGACTCTTTCGAGAGCAACAATGAACCATATTTTAATATCTCCAGGACGGAATCGCTTTCCCTATCAAGTAATCTTCAGCTGAAGGTACTTTGGTTGCTATGAATTCAGCTCACTGTAAATGTGAAGAATGTTATCTAAATCTGTCCACCTCTAGTTGAAAGACAAATTCATTTTTACACCTAACAGCTCTTTTTGTAAAGGGGTGACTAGTGATGTCCACTTGAGTCTTTTTTCTTTCTGCAGCTCTCTTAATTTTTACTGTTCTTGCAATGGCAGATGTGTGATTCCATTAATTTACAAGGATTTTTCACACACTAGGGAAATTTTATCATCTCCTACAATGACTTCTACCATTATCCCTTAAGCAAAGGGAGAAAACCAGGTGGTCTTTAATGAGTTTAAAGGATGAAACTTGTTTTGCCCACATACATTTTTACGTGGAGCAGGAGGTGAGGTAAATGATGTTAGTAAACCCGAGAATTCATGGCTCTATGAACTAATATGGAACATGCCAAACTTTGTCAGGTTTGCCGTGGGAGCCAGTTCCCTTTTGTTGGCAGCTTTCATGAGAGTCTCATTTTGCTGTAGTTGTTACAAAGAAAAAAAGAGAAATCTCTTCTTTCAGTCTTTCAAAGAAAACTCTTTTGTGTTTTAATGTGTTTTTTTTCCTGTTTAATTTTTATTCTTGTGCACTTGTTTTGTTTGTAAAACAATGTGTGCAATGCTGAAATTACCTTAGCAAGAACATTTTTTGTTTGTTTGTTTGTTTTTGTTTTTGTTTTGTTTTGTTTTGGTCTTTTTGAGACGGGGTCTCACTGTGCAGTTCAGGCTGGCTTTGTAGCCCAGGCTGGTCTCGAACTCACAGCAATCCTCCTATCTCTGCTTCCCGAGTGCTGGAATTACAGGTGTGCACCACCAGGCCTGGCCATTTTGGTCATTAGGGTAATACATTATTTTTGTAGCATGCCCTGAATCTACAAAATGTATTGTGAGTATGTGCAAATTATATAATTTTCTTACAACTCACCTAGGACTTCCTTTTTTGAGCAGATAAGCTTCTGGAGGAGGTTACTATTTTGTCCAGGTAGCCCCAGCTCGGTGGTGGGATTATTAGCCAAATCAAGCTCTTCTGAGCATGGACACTCCCTCCTTTGCCCTCACCTCTGAGACCTGTGGAGCTCTCATTATCTCTGAATTTTGAACTTGAATGTCGTGTGCCATTTCTGGGTAATTAGACATCAGTGTGGTTGTTAACATAGTACTAATTAGATTTGCATCTTGCATGGAATCTTGAAAAACTCATCGTTACTTGCAATGAAAAATTAATCAGTCTTTGTGAAACACTTTATGTTGTTCCTTGTGAAGAGGAATTTGCCTTTGTAATTACTCAGTATAATTTTTTTTTTTTTTAACCAAGGGATCTTGGACAATTTTCAAAGCTCCACTGTTAGGGGAAATAATTACTGTACATGTCTTAAATGAAAAGGTGGCATTTAGCTAAGGCCTTGAAGGGCCAGTTTACTGTTAGGGTTTCAGGGCAGCTTCCCATCTTGCACCCCATCCTAATGTCCAGGCCTTGGTGGGGCCTTCTTATAGCACAGTCAGGGAGCCACAGCCCAGGACCCACTGGTGCAAGAACAGCCTTCTGATTTCAGCTGCCCTCTAGGCTCTTGCACCAATATACTCAGAGCAACCCTACGCTTTCACTTAGGAGGAAAAGAGGAGAATGGTACTTGGGAAGGGCAGTTTCCGATGGCTTCATTTCAGTCAAGCATCTTGCATTACTTTCTATTAGTCATAACCTTAAGTGATATCCTAAAAATCCCTGGGCAGAATCAGTCCTAAGGCCTATGTGGAATAGGAGTTGGGAGATCATAATCGACTTTAACGAAGTTCTGTTGCATATTCCTCTAAATTTTCTGGAACACAGAAGAAAATCATGTTTAATTATTTTGCCCTTTTGCCTTTTCATGAATGCTGCCAATATACTAATAGAAATAATATGTAACTGGAAAACAGGAATAAAAATGGCAGGTCATTAAAAAGGAATAATATTAAAGGTATTCAAGACGTGCTGGATGGAAGATCTATTGAAAAATGAGCACAGATTAGAAGGATTTGTATATTGACCTGGTGTATTTTTCCATAGAGGCTGCGGCTTACACTGTAAATTTAAATAGGTATTTGGAAGCTTAAAAAACGCTTATAAGTGATAATTCCTCTAATTTCTAATAATCCTTCACTATAGAGACCTCAAAGTTGAATTTTGTTCGAATGCTGCAGTACAAAATGTAAAATAGCTGAAAATTCAGGTAAGAACAATAAGTCAAACTGGTGTTCAGGGTGATTTTTTCTCAAAGATACTGACTTAGTAGCATTCACGGTGAGCACGTACTTTCAAATATCATGAGGTCTTCTTAAAAACTTCTTTATGTTCTCTTTTAGGACACGTTGCTTTCTGGGATTCGCTCACGTTCTTACTCGTGCTCATCCCCTAAAATTTCTTTGAGAAAAACGCGGCCAGGACGAGATTTTGCAGTGTGCAATTCAGGGGAAGGTATGTCTTATTTGCCATTTGGCCTTGAAAGCATTCTATTCCAGAATAGATTTTTCAGTTAGGTTAAGTGCATAGAATACTTAAGAACAGCAGGCAAGTTTCCATTCCATTTCCACAACTGATTTTTCTAAGCTTATGGTTCGTTTCTTACTGGATATCCATCAAGTTATAGATTTAATTTTAATGAAATTGCACATATATGCACACCTCTCTGTTGCTTTACTTTTAAAATAAAATACTTTCCTCAAGTACAGTGTAAACTAAAATTTGGATTTTATTTAAGTGAATTATAAAAATGACTTTTGTCCTGTCTGTAAAGCGGCAAAGTAATTCAATTCCTCAGAGCCAAACCATTGCAAAATAGATTTTTTTCCTTCTTTGTTAACTAAGACAATGGAGAATTGAAATAAAAACATGGTTGCAACATGAATATGCATATGTCAGCATTTATTTGTTCTGTTTTGGTTGGCAGTGTAAGATATCAGAAATGTAACATTTATACAAGACAATTGTAGATGAGATATAGTATAATAGCTAAAAGGATGCAAATTATAAGTCTGTAGCCCAATGAGTTTTCAAAAGTGAATTCAGATCTATATGTAGAATAATTATGGACAATTTAGGGTCCCCCTTAGAGCTGTTCTCAGGCACTGCTCCCATTTTAAACTTTATTTTAAATTTTAACTTTCTGACTTTCTATGAACAATGTGATATGCCATAATTATATGTAAAGGCATATTTGGAATTATTCATGCCAGTGCAAAATACATTTGAACAAAATTGATGTCAGTACAGGAAATAGTGCCTTTCTTATCTGTTATCCTTAAGTGTCATAAAAGCCTCAGAAAGTCAGAGATGTGCTTATTTACAATATTTCGTAGAGGATTAATTCATTCTTGCCTTCTTCTTTTCCTTTTTTCTTCTTACATTTTTAGTATTACTTTGCATTCTTATGGTATAAGGAATAATACTGAAAATGTAATCTTTGTGCTTTGAACTGCTATCCTAAAATAATGACATACAGGACAGCTGTTCTTTAAATACTTGCGTGAATATGATAGACAAGAGAGATGAAATGAAACACAAGCGCTACTTTGTGTATGCCCCTCCCCCTTTCTGGGGTGTATTGTTAGAAGAGAAGACATGAAGACTGATCGTAAATGTCAGCTTTTATTTCCAGAATAGTCAGACTCTATAAGAGTGGCAGACCTGACCTACTGTGCCAAGGAGGTGCCCTGCATGGGCAGATTCTAAAAGGAAGTTCACAGAAAAAGAAAAGCAGACAGAACTACCTTGAAAGGGCAGGGCAAGACAGCAGACTGAATTTGCTCGGCTTTTTGTTTTGTTTTTTTAATTACATGGGTCTTTCGAAGGGCAGGTCTCCCCAGCCTTCATTTAAGTTCCTTATAAAGGCATCTGGAATTCCTAGCATGGCACTCTCCCTCTTTGAAAAGGGCCTATGTCTTTCACATAGTGTGTGACGCGGCGGCCTCATCTTTCCGTGGTTTCTGTGACTTGTAAGCTGTGATTCTGAAGTTTGAAATTATACACTAGATGACTGAAAGGAACCTGATTGTTAAGGGAAAAATACCTTGAACTTGTTACATTTTAGTGAGCAAGGAAAGGTATCTTTGCCTTATATACAAGCCTTTAATCTTTGTATTTGAATGAGAAAGAATAAAAGGTTGGTACCTTTTCCCCTCTGCAAATAAAACCTTGTCTTTAGGCAGTATATTTAAAGACAAGGCTGTTCAATTTGAAGACAAGGCTATTCAAAAGAAGTCTGACACTAACCACAGGGCAAGAAATATAACCAGGTGACTTAGGTTGAAGTCATACAGTGCACACACAAAGGTTCTAATGGATAGACCTGTAGGGTGCAGACTTTGGCAGTGGTACCGTTTAGGTCCATCAGAACCACACGGCTGTGAAGAATAAATTACCTCCACATGAAGGAGTGGCTCTACCTGTGTTTAGGTAATCCAAGCACGGGTATGAAAGCTGGCTTTGATCACAGATATGCTCCAATGTGTTCTTGTTTGGTTTGTTTAGATTAGTCAAAAGTAAATTGACACTTGTGTTACTGTAAATCTTTTTTTTTTTTGATAAATTTAGAATAGTTCTAAAATGTATCTGTATTTGAAGAGAGTTCAAGTCTTCTTTCCTCCCAGAGGAAAGCTCCCACAGATGAGGTATATTGCTGATATACAAAGATAGGATGCTTTTTCCTATAGCTTTTTATCCTTATTTTGCATATTCTCTCTTCCATGTCACTTTCAAATTGTTACTATTGCTCTTGAAGATTTGATGGTAAGGGTGCGTCCTGCTTTGTAGGGGGGTGTGCTCCACAGTGGCCATGCCTTCCTTCAGCCTCTCTCTCTAATTCAGTGTCTCTGTTTCATTCTTGTAAAACGTACTGTCCTCCAGCTCCAGAAATGAGCGGGCACCATGCTTGCCTGGGCCTGCCTTCCCCCTCCACAAGCCCGATGGGAAGGGTGGTTCTCCTTTCCCACAAGTCACAAACCAAAGCCCACCTCTGAACGGGCTGTTGCTGGGATTCTTCTAAAGACATTTCAGCTGTGCTAAGATTGACTTTACGCTGGCCATCAAGACATTTCCTTTGAGCTTTGCTAAAGTGGTAGCTAAGTCCTTTCTTGATTCTCTATGTTGGGGAATTAGTATTATGAATAGGGGGGCACTCTGCTGTGTAGAATCTGGATATATAGGACTAATGTTCAGCACTTCTGAAAATCTGTTTCCTTTTGCTGAGGCTAACCTTGTTTGTGAAGTTATAAATTTGGTCCTCTCCTCACCCTCTCCAGACTAAGGAAAGCAGTAAAGATATCCGAGCAAGGCCATACTTATGTTACGTAACTTGTTTTCCCATTATTTTGTAACTGGTAGGATAGATAGTGATAAAATATGGTGAGTGTGCATTTCAGACTGACACCTGACTGCAAGTTTGTCTGCCTGAGTTCTCATTTTATTGTTCTGTGTCTTGCAGGGCAAAGAGCTTATAGCCTATCGGAGCCACCCGGAGAGAAAAGGTATGTTAACTGTTCCTGTTTTCTGAAGGGACCTCTCGATCCATCTTTGGAAGTATTTACACATTGCTGTTGATTTTGTTCAGTAGTCAGGAGCGGTTTCTGGGTAATGAACCTGCCCAATACTTTTGATTCCTCTGTATCTGTATCACAGTAGAAGGGCCCACTGTCTCCTTTCAGTCCTCAGATGTACAGGCCTCAGAACTGGGGACAGGATGTTCTGGTCCTGGTTCTTTTCGAAGGCAAACACCTTCTTGAGAGGGTGCTTCAGAGAAGCAGTGGGCAGCCCTGAGGTCTGCTCTGTCAGGACCAGAAGACTTGCTCTAGTAACAGGCCGCTGGGGGATCTTTATTCAAAGGACCCAAACTTCCCTGCTATCTCCCTTTTGGATTTTTTAAAGCAGTGTTATGTGCAATACCAAAAAATAAATGATGCAAATATTACCTTTAGCATTACTAGCTTTCTGACTGATATATGGATTTTTAAAGCTTTAAGCCTGAGCTTTTTCCTAGAAAGTAAAAAAAAAAAAAAAAAAACAAAAAACTAGCTGGAGCCGAGCTTGGAAAGCAGACTGGGATTCAAGCGTGGTTGCTGAGTTCTGTTGGTCTTGAATGACTAACTGCTCATGAGTCACACTGTGAAATAGCCCTGCGATTGTGTGTTACATGCAGAACAAATGCCAGAAATAGTGCAAATGTTTGGCTTTAAGAGGCCATCTGAGAAGCACTAAAATGGTTTTAGTTTTGGTCTATTAATGCTAATGCTCTGCAGCTTTTTAATATGTAGGTCATGGACTATTTTGTTTTAAATCTTAGAATAAAAGTAGCAATAAGGAAAAGCCTCCTTTGTGTCACTTCTGTGCTTTGTATGCTAGAATAAAACCTTCCCAATAACAAAAACAGAAGACTAAAACTGTCCTTGAGGGATAGGATGATAACAAAGATGGCATCATGACAGTGACAATGGTGACAGTAACCAGCAGTTCCTGGGTGTTTATTTATGCCTTGTGCTGTTTTAAGCAGCTTATATTTATTCCTTTATTTAAGCAGTTTATTTCCCAATTCTTATTGTTTTGCTTAGTGGTCTTCTGTTATCTTTTTAAGAATGGAAGAAAATAAAAACATTTATTTTCCATTACAAGGCAGACTTAAGACTGGGAAATCCAAAGTCACATCTGGTTAGATAGTAACTTATAAGACAGTTTACCTTGGGTGGGAGAGACCCTTTCTGAGTTCTCTTTCATTTCTGTTTTTTGTTTTGTTTGTTTGTTTGTTTCCATCTTCTTTCATTCCTCGTGGTCTATATCCTGAAAGCCTGTTTCCTTCAGCCGTATCCCTTGGTGTGTGTAGTAGGGCAGATCTTTCTTTTCATCTATGCTGGTCCTGACACCTTGTTGGAGATCCCAGTAAGATCCCCAGCCATGCCTATGCTTTGTTTTCATCATGCTGAGAAACTTCATACTGTGCAATTCTTTTATTTATATTAATCACAATATTTGGAAAAGAATATGTTCATATAAAAGGGCCTCATGCCAGGCCTTGCAGGATCTTGGAAGTGGACACTCCATCTACCCCAGTTCCTAAAAATAAGATAGCATGACTCAGCATCTATTTTACATTCATTGCCTACTTTTTAAAAAATCCAGATATTTGAGGGTTACAAGAAGTGCCACTGTATCAATTTTCAGTTCGTAGAGTGGGAACTTATTTCGACATTTCAGATGCCCAGATCCTTAAAAAAATGGAAGGTTGTTTTGGTTACTTTTCTCTTGTTGCTGGGACAAAATACCTGACACCCAAAATTAAGGAAGGAAAGGTTTATTTTGCTTACAGTTTGTGGAGGTTTCAGTCCCTACTTGGCAGATTACAAGGCAGACTGGTGCATGGCAGAGAGCTACAGCTCATGGCAGCAGAACACAGCAAAGCCAGAAAACACACACAAGGGAGGAAAGGGCCAGAAGCACCCTTTTCCTCTCCCTTACATATGCAAACTATCCACCCCAGGGTGGGTGCAGCTCTCACACCCATAATCAAACTCTAAAAGCCTGCCCCATGGCCACATGAGGCTTTGAGGGAACACCCAGACACAAACCATAACAAAGGTGTAATGAATTAAGGGTATGATATTGAGGATCTACCTTCTTAATATGTTTGAAATATGTTTGCCTATTAAAAAGACAGTACCTTGAGAGTGCCTGAAGAATGAAGCTTGTGAAACTTTATTTTGAGTGATTCTTTTGATCATCAAACTGATAAGGAAGCCAGACATCCTTGTTTTGGCATGTTGAACTTTTTTTTCCCTTCAAATTCTTTTTATTTATTTATTTTATTTAATTTTTGGTACTGGGAACCGAACTCAGGATTTTACCTTTGCCAGGCAGGCACTTGTGCCACTGAGCTATATCCCCAGCCCCTCAAATTCTTATATATTTAAATTCTGTTGTGAAATTAGTTGAGAGTTTTCTCTTCTCAGTCTTTGTCTAAAGTACCTGATTGTTATACAGGTGAATGCCCCATAGTTAAAATAGGGTTGAAATATGTAAATCACCCAACCTCTTAAATTTGCCTAGAGATTACACAGTCATATCCATTCTCAATTTGACAGTGGATTATGTGTGTGCCATTCATGTTCCTACCAGGTTGACTGGTGGTCCTAAGTTTTTAATACTCAGTATTTTGACTTTGTGTGTTTGCTTTGTCATTGTCTTATCAATTGTTGATCCTAAAAAATTAAGTAGCATGATTTTATATCATTTTGTAGCACTATACAGGACCTATGGTACATTGTGGTATATTTATAGATCTTTAATCAAAAATAAAATTTTTATTGATTAAATTTTCTATAACATGGAGAATAGGAAGTAGGGCTGGGTTACCAAGAATTTATTTCCTATTATTTGAGAGAGTTTAGTTCTTTTCCTCTAGAGAGAGGAGAGGGGACTTCTTGACCTCAAAACACATAGCGAACTGATCATTCTTTAGTTCTTGGATTTAGGTCTTTTCATCACACCACTCTTTTCTTAGACACTGGAGTCTTAGACTCTTAGACCCATTGAATGGGTCACAAAATGCGATCCAAGAGAGGGTCCTTTCTAAGCTCTCAAATGTGCCCCTCCCTGAATACCAACAACCTGTTGAATATTAGGACATGCATTTTGCAAATTAGAATGCCAAAACACCGGAGGTTGTGGAAAACTTCTGATTATATTAATCAAACAGTTTTCTAAGACCAAAATGACTAGAGGTGGCTGCGAAAGTAGAAAGGATGTAAGAAGATCTTAGATCCTTTGTTGTGCTCAGTAAGTGCCGGTCCTGTTCACCTCCCTTCCCTCCCGGGTTCCTCAGATGTTCTCTCAGTGACAAACTCCATGTCATTTCCTGTGCAGGATTTGAGGAGTAGGACACACAGAGCTACGTGGCCATGATTACTTTTTCCAAATGCAGTCACAGAATTGAAGACTGAAGTAACTGAGACAAAGTTTAAACAAGTTGGTTTTGTCTTGTACAGGGAGGTGTATATTACAGTGCGGGGTGGGTCTTAGAATTAATGTAGTCTGAGCCTGTTATTATTCAGATGTGAAAAACTGAAGTCCTAAAGTGTTGTTACTGAAAGCAACATTTTCAAGAAATGTAATCTTATATATTCAGTGTATCTGGATAATATGATTGTTTTTAAATATTTCCCGGAAACAAATATATAAGCCACTAGAAAAAAAAGAAAGATTTAAAGGGTAAGGGGGGACTTTAGTCAGGATATGTTCATCATAAGCTGTGTTATCTGATTTGACATGATTGTTAATTTGATTTCTAATATATTCTCTCTTTTTTCTCAATAATAATATTAGAAACAAGATTATTAGAGCATGTTGTAGGAGGAAATTAACTTTTCATAGCCTGGGGTCTTTTTCCCACTGAATAGTTATATGAATTAGAAGAAAATAAATAATGTTTAGTATGTTCCTTGGTTGGATACCGTCTCCTCTGGCCTGCTTTTTATTTTGGAAAATTTCAGTAGCTTTCTTTCTCTCCCCTTCAGCCTAGACAGTATCAGATTGTTTCTTGAGTGATCTCACCAAAGGAAATGTGTCTGCTGAGTGTTATCCCTGTGTTCCCCAAACCAATAAAGTCCAGTTTCAAATGATCGATGGTTTGACTGCTCTATGTCCTGGAAAATTTCTATTCTATTAGCAGAATAAACAGAGAGATGAGTGCTTCCAGAGTAAAATTATGTGTGTTTTTCACTTCATTAATATTTTGGTATGAAAAATTTCAGGAATACGGAAAAAGTTGAAAGAATTATGTGTGGAATATTCATTTCTACCACCTCGATTCTACAGTAGTTAAGATTATGAAATAATTGCTTGATCACAGGTATATTCATCTGCCTATTCATCCATAATGTATAAGATACATTTTTATAGTTTCTATCTTTCTGTTTAGAGCAGTCATTAAAACCTGAACAAAACACACACTGACAAATATATACACACACATAATTATATATGTATACACTATTGTTTCTTCCTTCCAGTAAGCTGTGATAACAGATTCTTTTTTATAGAATTGAGGAAGAGGAATGGGATAAATTCATCATTCCTGCCAAATCAGAGTCTGAAAAGTATAAAGTGAGCCGAACTTTCAGCTTCCTCATGAACAGGATGACTAGCCCTCGGAATAAATCCAAGGTAATTAAGATGCTGAATCTATTTTCTGTTAAGCATAGATAGTTTCATTTGATAGAAATCTGTATGATTTCCACTTTCCTTTAAAATCACTTACCTTAAATTGTATCTATACCTTATATTGTATCTTAGATACAATACACCTTTTTTTGTGGAATATTGCCCAACTCATTGGAAATAGTAAGAGAGCCACCACTTGGGGACTAGCACATTGCCTTGCAGTTTCCTTGCTCCTTGGGGTGCAGTCCTGACATTTCCACAGAGAATTTGTTGGACCTTGAATTTGTTGGCTTCTGTCAGAAGGTTGGCTCACGCATTTCCTCTTTTCTATTTCCCCCTACTTCTCTGCTGCTGCTGCTGCTGTGTCTGAAGATGAAAAACAAGGATGCCAAAGACAAAGAGAAACTCAATCGACATCAGTTTGTTCCAGGAACACTCTCTGGGGCTCTGCAGTGTGTGGCGTGTGATAAGACACTCCTGGGGAAAGAGTCACTCCAGTGTTCTAGTAAGTGCTGGGGCCTCGTGATGGCTTTGTGTTTTGTTTCCCCAACCAGCTGGATCCCTGAGGCTGGGCTGTTGCTCGCCACATTTACACAGACCGGCTGTGTAGTGCCGCACGCATTGGAGCAATTTACCATACAGTGGCTAGTAGTGGACAGGGTTGGGACTTTGTGTCCTCAATTGATAGTGTCCCTGAGTCCCAGGCCTCTCTACTTCCCTGCTGTTACACCCACTTAGAGTCTGCACAGCATCCCCACTCTTACAGGTCTCAAACTGAACCCCTAACCACCCCCCCTTGGCACCTATAAGCCAGTCCTTTTGGATAATGAGGGTTCTGTCATTGCAACCAAACGGTCATGCCAGACACTTTGGAACATTTGTTTATACCTCCTTTCCCTCACATTCCACATCCAGCCCTTTTGCAATCCCCTTGGCTCTATTGTCCAAATGTATGCAGAACCCATCTGCTTATCACCTGCCAATTACATCTGGCTGGTCTAAAGCTACCATTTCCACATCATTCCAATCAGTGTCCTTGTTCTTTGACCCACTGAAGTTTCAAAGCATTGCGTGAGCTTGTTCAGTCATAGATCCCCAGATTCCAAGACTTTCAGTGTCTTCCTGTGTCTTCCTAGAGGAGACCAAGCCTTACTGTAGCTGCAAGGCCCCTGAGGACTGCTCTGTCATCCTCTTCCCCCTCACTGCCTCTGTTCTGGCCGTGCTGGTATCTGAGCTGTTCTTCAAACATACCAGCTATGCTCTGTCCAAGGGCCTTCCCTGGCCATCCTCTCTGCCTCTTTCTACAGCCAGCCACGTGGATTGCTGAGTGAGGCTTTCCTGGTCACCTTTCCTGGCTCATCCTTTGCTTCTTCCCTTTATTTCCTCCCCATCATATTTACCACCATCTAACTTACTACACATTTTACATATGGATTTTATTGACTATCTCCATCGTAAGTTCTATGGGCCTGGATTTGTATTTGTTGGACTTGTTCTCTGCCGTACTCACAGTAGCTAGAGCAATACCTTAGAGCAGGTACTTAGTAAATATTTGTTGAATCAAAGAATAATGCCGAGACAAAAAATTCATGCCCAGGCAAATGAAATGCATTTCATGGCATTGGTTGGTAGCTATAGTTGGGGGAATATTCGGGAGGTAGGACAGGCTCAAAAGGGGAAGGAAGAACAGAAGGCATATGCACAGTACCTCAAAGAGTTAAAGGGTTTAAGCGCACATATAGTTGTATATCTGATGAAAACACTGTCTGCCTGTGGTGTTAGAGGTTGGTTGTTCTTCTGGCATTAAAGGTGGATTGACTGACATTAGTGATGCCAATTTCATTGCATGCTTGAACTTGGCTTCCCTTGAAGATTTGATTTCTTTCTTTCATGGGATCTGAAATAGCATCATGTCATTCAGATGTGATTTAATTTTCGTGTGTGTGTGTGTGTGTGTGTGTGTGCATGCTAAGGATCAATCCCAGGGCCTCATGCGTGCTATGCAAGCACTCTACCCCTGAGCCACTGGTTCTTAATTTGCTAAATTTTTAGGGATTTGCTGTAAGTATTGTTTATGGGTTGTTCCTGGCAGCCCACATTTTGGCACTCAGGTTATCTGCATGGTGGTGGTGGGGGGTTTCATAGCTTCTGATAGGACTAGATCCCTTCAATTTTACCCCTACCCTTTCTCACCCATATTTTCCAGCTCTTAATTCTCCATTCACTGCTTGCTATCCTGCCCTGATTCCTCTTTATTAGCCATTGGTGTTTTGGCCTCTGTCCTATGCACCTGAAGTCCTGCTTGGGCAAAGCTTGGGCTCACTTTCTCATTGAGCTGGAGAGCCTTTCCTCCTGCTCAGGCTGGCCTTGCTTCACCCTTCCCCTCCTCTCCATGGCACATGGCTCTTCTGTTTTTTGTTTTGTTTTGTTTTTGTTTTTCTCTGGTACCAGGAACCGAACTCACGACCTTGCACTTGCCAGGCAGGCGCTTTTGCCGCTGAGCTAAATCCCCAGCCCCCACATGGCTCTTCTGTGTTACCGCCTGTATGGTCTCTTTTTTTCCTAATTCTGAGTGCCTTCCAAGCTCAGTTCTGGGGCTTTTATTAATTCTTCCCATATTGTTTCTAAGTACCTAGGTCTACGTAGGATATTTTAAAACATGGACACCCTTCCCTGTGTAGACTCTCCTCTAGGGCTAATGCCTGTATTCCTTTTACTTCCACATTGCTGGTTGCTTAGAGGCTGAGAACTGTGTCATTTAGGGCCACTTTTGAGAGTGATGGGACAGCACTGAACCGAGACTGCCACAGGCAAACTGGCTCCTCGGTGACCCTGTGTGCAGGCATCTTCTTCCAGACTTCATCGTCTTCACAACCCAGCATGTGTCAGCCAGCCTCAGAATCCATGCACAGAATGTCACCCTCCCACCGCGCACCCAGGACAGTGGCATGCAGGCCAAGCCTTGATCCCTGTGATCTGCTTCCCTCTGTCCTTACCTTCAGTGTCCTTTGTTCACTCTGTCCTCTCCCTGTTGCCGCCTCTTGGCCTACTGAGCATGGATTGTGCTAGTTTCTTCCCTCCATGTCTTGAAAGTACAATTTATGATGGGACTTGTACCCCACTGACCTGTGAAATGCCACTTTCTTCAACCCACATGACTCAGGGACTCCTCTGCTGGGGTGAGGCACACCCAAGCTGTTTATTGGGGTCTGGTCCCTCATCCAGGACCTGCTAACTGGTTCCACTCTTGCCTCCTCAGCAGCAGCAGACAGCCTGAGTCCTGCCAGTCCTGTTGTCCTTGTCTGTCACTGCCTGTTCTTTCTGTCCCTGCTGTTTAGCTTGCGATAATCTCCTTTGTCTGTTTTCTCTGTTCCTGCCAAGGATGGAGATCTTCTGCCTCCTCTTGGGAGGTCTTCCCTGAGCACCGTGGTCAAATTCTTGCCTGTTCCCTTCATGATGCGTTTATTGTATTCTGTTTAATCGGGTTATGTATAACCTCTCTGAGTTTTAACTACTGGAACAGACTAAGTCCTTTAAGGATGGTCATCACGTGCTGACTCTGTGTAGCCCTTCTAGCAGCCACTGCAAAGCTGGCTCTTAGGCGCCCCTGCCTAGTACGCGACTGACAAAGCTAGGGCCAGGGATCCCTGGACAGGAACCTTTCGTAGTCAATAAAATATTGGTTAATATTAAGTTAAGTGGATTATAATGAAGGTTGTAGTGGAAGTTGGAAATTCTTGAAAGTACATAAGGTATATTTAGCTGATAAAACAGTCGTTACTTTAAAAACTGGATTATGGTCCATAGATAATACAAGGCTTAAGGAAAAACTTTATCTTAAATTTTACCACATAGAGAAAATTGCTATTAATATTTTGACAAAGTCCTTTCTAACCATAAAAATATTCTATCCACTTAAAATGCTAATGTTTCATTTGATGGTGATTTCAAATGTGTTTAATTATTTCTTATTGTACATTTAAATTTCCTCCTAAAGTTTCACAAGATAAATGAGCATTCCACATCTTTGATTTTCCTTTTAGATTAAATTCCAGAATCAGTATTTGTGGGTCAAAGTGTACATTTGATGTTTTTCTTTAATGCACAATTTTTTATAATTAGTTTTAAGACTTACAGGTGTTTTTTTTTTTGAGGTACATACTGGTGATTTAAACTTTGCTTTTTGAGATTAAGTTTTTACATTGAGTAAATGGGATGTAACATGGGAAGTCTCTGTTGTTTTAGTTTGATAATGATATTCCATTAGCGTATTATTATTTTTAATTGTGAATGTTAAAATTTCTAATCTTAATAACATGGAATATGAAACAACACACGATATAAATATTCAAACTCTTGCCATCATTTTTCCTCTGGTAAACTTGTGTTGCTACTTTTTTAAAGAATAAAATTCTCCTTATTTTTAAGTAGGTTTCACTAGTTCTTTGGAAATTATGTTAGCTTGTACAAAAACTCTACTGTCATTGCATATTTAACTTTAACCAACATAAAATTGCTCTCTTAATGTCATTAAGTGTTCCTTGCATTGAATTTTACTCTACCTTTTCTTTTCTTCTTGTTTTTTCCCTTAACTATTTCTGTGGTTTCGATTTGGGGTGTGTATCTTTCATTTATCCTGAGGTACTCTGTATTATAACTGAAAGAACTTGTTTTATAACAAAGGATTTTTCTTATTTATGTTTAATTTTACTGCTTCCAACTATCTTTTATAGTTTCTCGCCGTTTTCCTTGATGTCTGGCTGAACTATTTGAACCATGTGTTGTTTCCTTTTATCTTCTCATGGGATTTGGTCAGATAGGCTCTTTTAATATCTGCTAATGATCACTTTAAGGCTGTGGAAGGCTAATCATTTAATACTCTTTCATTTTCCTTATGTTTACAATTTTTCCCCTGAGCCTCTGTTAATTATCATTACTGTATTGCTTTTCTGTATTTGCTTAATATTCTAAGACTGATTTCATATTTTAAGAAAAATACATTTTTATTTAGCTGTATCTCTGCTTACAATTTTTAGATTTGTTTCTTTGTTTTCTTGTGCACTTTTGCTCCTTTTTAAAAAAATCACAGCCAAGCTATTCCTTAATTTTGATTCATCTTGGAATAGTCTAGAACAGAATTGATCTGATTTCTGAAACCTTTTGTAACAGAGGGTATATTTTGGCTTCTTTCACACAAGGAAGACAGTTTACCTAGCTAAATAAAACTTTGAACCAAAATCTTTTCCTCCGGTGCTGTATCCACATTGTGCCAATACAGTTGGGCACCTATTGTCCCAGTGGGAGGAGAGTCTCGATCTCGTGTAGCTTGATTTCTTTGTTGGTAACATCCTTTTTCTGACTGGATGCTTGGGAACTGTAAAATTTTTAATCATCTGAATTTTGTCAGAATCTTATCTATAGAATAGGAGTCATTTAGCTATTGTTCTTAAAAAACACTGAGACCTTTTGGCCTCTCCTTTGAGGTGCTTTTTCAGCTGTCCAACATTTTTGTCTATTGTGGCTTTGACTACTATTACTTTTGATCTAATTTTTCTGCTTTCTTTTTTTTGAGAAATGTGATCTCTGATATCCGTCTTTTTTGTGTGACATCTTCTGTTTTATAATTATACCCCTTGTCCTTGCCACATTCTGGAGGGAATCTTTCAAGTTTAATTTCACAACACCGCTTTGATATTCTTGTCACCCAGATCTATCTCAATTTGGCTTAAAGCCTGCTCTTCCCCTTTACCTTCCTCAAGGTCCCTGCTCTCTCACAAAGCTCCATTTTCCTCTCATCTCTTGTCCTATTTCATGTCCCGTTCTCCCTTCATGGCCTTTGGTCCTATTACATTGAAGCCTACCTTCCATCTCTTATTGAAAAGATAGTTTTAATATCTACTTCTTTCTGCTCTGTTTTGGGGCTTCATAATTCCTGTGAGTTTCCAGTGTAACTTTGTTCTGTGGAATCTCATAGAATACATTTTTCATTTCCTTTTATTTACTTGTTCTGGAGTAGAGAGAGCTGTTGGGTTTTGACGGTAGCCTTGACCCTGCTCCTCGGCCACTGGTGTTGGCTGAAATGACCTGCAGCCAGTGGACAGTTGTGGGGCTCAGCCTTGCACCCAATTCACAGAAGAGCACTGGCGTTTATTCAGCATGGCGCTGATGGGCTAGGTTGCGGCCTTCCATCACCAGGGGAAGACTCCTTCTCAAGAAGTTTTTGATACACCCCAGGGTCCTCTGGCTGGGGTGCAGCATGCAGAGTGGTAGAATGAGGGCAAGTTGTGGAGGCAGGAAGGGGACAAGACAGGGGCCCGGTAGAAAGCAGTCCCCACATCACGTAGGCTTCCACGAGGAGAACCTGGGGTTGTGCCCCAGGAAGATGAACAGGAAACTTCCTCTTCCTTTCTTCCAGTGAGAGGGAGCCACATTGTTGTTTTAGGATGTAATGCGTGGGAAGTGGCTAACTTTTCTCATTGAATTTGGTTACCTCACACTTCCACTTAATAGGAGTTTGCTGTTGGAGCTTGATAGTTCATTTTCCCCCCAGAATCCTTGTGAGCCGGTTTTCTTTCTTTCCGTGGTCCTAGCATTTAATCCGGTGTGGGAGTCAGCCAGGTGTGAGAACTCCCTCACCATATAATACATAAGTAGTAGTGAGTCCCCAGGCAGAGACAGAAAGTGTGCATTGTGTGTGATTTCAGGGTTCAAAACTGGTAAAATAATTTCAAGAGATAAAAAATGTCTCCAAGGAATCAAAATTCCAACAGTGTGCTTGCACTTGGGTGGAACTACATGTGATTTAAGTATTTGTCTTTCCTTAGGTTTTCTAAATATTTGTAACATATATGAATTTTTTTCAAAGGCCGGTAAAAGCAGGATATCATCTTGCTCATGTCAGGTTCACTTACATAGATGAACGCTTCTGAATCTTTTCTCTTTATTCCAGACTGTAATGCAAATGTTCATAAGGGTTGTAAAGATGCCCTGCCTCCATGTATCAAGGTAATCATTTCCTGGGCACTGATGAATATATGTGTCTATTTCTGTCTTGTTTGCTTTATATTCTCTGTTTGAAATTTAACTCATTTTTATTGCTATCTAAATTTTTAAAGTGATCACTGTAGTGATAGCATAGCACCTGCTGAAAATGTATGGTTATATACTTAATTGTCCACTTTCAGCAGTGGAAGAAAAGCCCTCGTCTGGCTATGTGGGTTATACTGTATGAGTGGGTTAGGCTTTCTGTTGAGACCCATTTGCCTTACCAATGCAAACCTTGAATATTTTAAATGAAGATTAGAACAATGATTCTCTAATATCAGCCAACACCGGAATCAACCTGGAGGATCTGTTACAACCCAGACCACTGGGCCACATTCTCCGAGTATCTAACAAGTTCTCTGGGTTTGCTGCTGCTGCTGAGACCCCACCTGGGGACCACGGGACAGACGAAACGTGCCGTCTTTGAGTTGGGCTGCATAGATGAAGGCATCTGTGTCTGTTCCCTTCTGGTCATGTCAGAAATGCATGTGCCCGGCAGGATGTTCCTTCAGAGGGAAATGTGGAGTCACAAAACTATACTGACTGAAACACTTACTGTGGCAGGTTACAGAGCTGAGAGCTGCCCTAGAAGGCGACATTTCAGTGCTCACTGTCCGTCATCTTCTGTGGGAGAAGGGGTAATAAGGGATAGAACAAAGAGAAAGACAGCATCCACGGGAACTCCTCTTTGTTTGAAATAAATAAATAAAATAACAAAAAGTGACCTAGATAAGCACCCTGTTCTATGTAGCCGCATGTTGATTCTTGTAGTCCAGTGGCGCTTTGATCTTACTTGGTGTGTTTCTAATATTCTTTACCAGAAATTCCAAGAGAAATACAACAAGAACAAACCACAGACCATCCTTGGAAGTAAGTGATGTGGAAAAATCACAAGAACTTTAAAAATTTTAATGCATATCATACATTTTTCCATTGTAAAAAATACCTCCTGCTTTTGTTTTCTGATTTGCCCAATTATTTCTCCTTTCATTACATAGGCCTGGCATAATTTTTAATTATAGGAAGAGATCAAGAGGATGTAAACTTCCATGCCAGCCTCAGCGCTTTTGCATCATGTGTACTGTATGATCTTTTGTGTTCAGGAGGGTTACAGGAGAAAGGGTTACCATTTTGCCTCAATTCTAAGGTGCTAGCTAGTAGAGTATTCGCTATTGACACTATTTAAATAGATACCTTGTGTCTATTTAAATAACCTTTGAGGAAAAAGAGAGATATTACATGATACATACATAATGTTATGTTTTCCTAGCACATATTTATCTACACAAATACATGCCACACTGTCCTTGACAACTGCAAAGTCTGGTAGAAACAAGTCACGTTTGGAGTCCTTAGATTGTCACTAGTCCCTGTTATGATGACCCGGTACCTTGATAGCCTGTGGTCTTATTAGCACTTTTAGAATGACAGCAAAATTATAAGGGCTCCTGGAATTTTGTTTGTTCATTTTTTTTAAAAAATTGGTACTTCTGTTTTTTTCCTGATATACACATTGCTGAAATCTAAAGCAGTTTCTCTTGTAAGTAATTGGTGATCTTCAACAGTTGTTTGCATCACATGCAAGAATGAAAAGCATTAGCATTTCTTACATCTGAAAATCCTCTGCCTTACTGAGAGTTTACCATTTCTTTTACCTAACGTTACATTGCACAACATGGAGCAGGAATTTTACATGCTGGTAACTGTTCATTTCAATACTGTAATAAAACACAACTGATATTTTGAAAAAACACTTCAATCTGGGCAATTGGATGTGCATAGTCACTCTAACACACTAATGTGTGTGACGACATGAAAGGTTGAGTTAGTCAGGTAGTAGTAGCTGTCACATCTTACTCTGTTATCTTGGCCTCAGAAGTCTCTTGACATCAGTTATAAAGCACCTCTGAATTTCAAAGGTTAAGTGTGAAAATAAAAAACATCGTAGAATAGATAAAACACCATGTAATTCTCCTCTTTACTTGGGAGTCATAGGAAAGAATCACACATACTTAAAATCCTTTGCATTATCCCGTGACCTGTATATGTATTTCCCTCTTTTGCTTGGGTACATGTATGTGATAGCTGTAATATTCTGGTACTGAGATACTTTCTGAGAGTCACTGATACTGTGCATCAAATATCCATGCCCAGAACTCTTAAAGCTGGCCAGGAAAGTATGGGAGCACTCTTCTGTTCTCAGCTGGGCTTACAGGTGTCCTTGGCCTGAGGTTCCATTACCACCAAGAATAAACTCCCAGCCTCACTCCATTCCATTCTCTTGACTTGTTCTCCACGTGCCCGTGTGTTTACTCTCACCATGTGCACTCCAGCAACAGTGCTAATGACACCTTGTGTCTATTTAAAGCTGGCTCTAAGGAGTACAAGCAGTGGTTTATGGGAAAAGCTGGCCAGTGTTTCCCCATTCCATTTTCTTGTTTGCTCGTGTCACCCCAAACACCTGCAGTCCCCAGGTAGAGAGGCAGAAGCAGGCCTGCTGCACAGGTGTCAGGACAGTTCAAAAGGTAGGGACATTTGAAGCAAGTATCAGCTTGTGGCAGGGAGACCAGTTTGGAGGCTGGGCATGCGATGTGTTAGAATTGGCTGTTTGAGGATTTAGCATCTGGCTTTGAAGTGACTTTCCTCACTTGTAATTACTGTCCTCTGTGAGAGCCGCATGCAGCCCCCACTCTGATTTCTAGGTTCTTCAGCTAGAGACATCCCACAGCCTGGTCTCTCCTTGCACTCTTCATCTTCTATGCCTGTTGGACTCCCAGCTCCGAGGAAGGAACCCTCAGGGCAGGTGCCTCTGCTATCCAGAAGCGTTCCAAGTACCACCCTGGAAAGGTAAGGATCAGTGTGTTATTCAGTCTTCATGGCTCAGAGAGGCTGCTGGGGCTAAGCTCTCTTTCCTTTCTCCCTCCCAGCTTCAGGAGGTCAACCACATCCTTAGAGTCTGAGGGTGATGGGAACAACTGGCGAAGCAGTTCTCACTCCGATGAGCTGCTGCAGTCCATAGGCTCCTCTTCCTCCATGGAGACTTTCATCATAGAAGGTAAGGAGAAGATGTGTTTGTATTTACTTATGTTTCCGTGAGCATTTGCTGAAAGGAATATTTTCTAAAGGAAGCAAGACCAAAGCATATTCTTTTGTTCTGTATAAAAGAAGCCTGTTTCATGCAGTTTATTAGGCATGGGTTCTACTTTTAAAAGAGAATTCTACCCTGAAAGAAACAGAGAGTAATCAAGGAGATGGGATGTGCTTTTAAATGGTCGTATTCCCAAGGGAGTGGGGTCATGATCAGCGAAAAGAATGAAATATATTGTGTGTTTGTCATTGAAAAAAGGTTTTACAGCAATTGATGGGCTGGAGTAGGACCCTACATTAAAATAGGTACTTTAATTAGTGAGGACCGGTCTTGCCTGGATTTCCGAGTCCAGTAGTTCCCTCCACTTGTTACCTCCTACTTCTAGGGGAATAAAAGCATTTTTAAAGTGTATTTCATGGGGTGGAATTTAATTTGGGGAGTTGCTTTTCATGTCCAACTTGCATCAATAAATGAAAGAGAACCAAGTGGAAGAAGAGAGAGGGGAGGCCTCTGCCTCGGAAACCTGCTGCTTTCGGTCTGCTGTCAGCTCCCTTTCAGCACTGTGAGCTGGACTGACTCTAACGAGTGCTGTTTAGGGTGCGTAGAATTTGGTTTTCCTGAAGGGTTTTTGCGTATGTGTGTCTAATTTTGCCAGAAAAATCTGCACTCACTTGTGACTTAAATCCTTATATTCTGCTGTGTGCTTTGCCAAATCCTGAACAGTCCAAGGGGACCAGTTCAGGTTTAGATTTGAGAAAACAGGCAAAACACCCTGGGACGAAGAAGCAGTGAGAGCGAGATCCTCGGAGCACACTGCGGCCTCCGAAGGTTCCCTAAAATAGGAGTGAAGTAGAGGAAGCCAAAACAAACAAAAGAACCTTAAGGTCTCTTTTTTTCTTTTCTTTTTTCTATTTTACTTTGGTACTGGGCATCGAACTCACGACCTCAGGCTTGTCAGGCAGGCACTGCTGCTGAGCTACAGCCCCGGCAAGGTCTCTTTTTTTAGCCCCATATACCCAGTCACTTTTTTTTGTTTTTATGAGTACGTATTTTATCAGTTTTATCTGTTTTATTAGTGCATGTTTGCAGTGCACACTGATGTCTGCCATCGCTATTCTCTTACCCAGAGGCTACCCTGTAAGGCAGGGAAGGGGAGGATAAGCCAATCAGAGCCGGCAGTTTTGATCTCCAGTTTTCAAAGCTGACCATCTTTCCAGTTAGGTCTTATTTTCAGAGAAGCACGGTATACACCACATTTTCTGTATCTGTTCATCTGTTGGTGGGCATACAGGCCGCTGTGATTCTTCTTGGACCACTGTATCATTCTGGTTTTCAGGTGTTCCACCTCCACAGGAGCAGGCATGTGGGCTGGGTCATCCCTGTCCCCAGGTGTGGTGAGTGTGTGGAGGCTGTGAACATGGTACTTAGAAAGGTGTGTTGTTCCGTGAGTCACTGTCCTTCTGGCTTTCCTTTTCCAAACGCGTTAGATGTCATGGACTCTTCCCTGTGGAGCGACCTCAGCAGCGAGGCCCAGGAGTTTGAAGCGGAGTCATGGAGCATGGTGGTGGACCCCTCGTTTTGCAGTCGGCATGAGAAGGATGTTATCAAAAGGCAAGATGTTATTTTTGGTGAGCATCTCAGATATGCCCTGGCGCTGAAGCAGTGTGCCATAGAGCAAAGAAGGTGACATGTGAAGCCACACAGACCTGGTTTCTGAGTTCATGCTCTGTGCTAGTTGCCCTGGTCACAGACAGTTTGACTCATCTGACCTCAGTCTCTCCAGCTGTATAATGGGGATAATGACACTCAGGCTTGAAATGTTGCTCTGGAGCTTACATGGGGTACTATGTGAATCTGGTATAAACCAAATTTCATTTCTCCTGCCTTCTCAAGTTACATAGTGTCTTAGTCACTTTCCCATCACAAAATAACCCACGTCCACAACTCAAAGGAAGAGAAGTTTATTTGGCCCACAGTTCCCAGTGGGTTCTGTCCAAATTGGCCCCAAGATAGGAAGAGCAGGGTAGAAGGGCCTAGGAGAGGATGTCAGCTCAAGCCATGGCAGCCAGGAAGCAGAGAGTGAAGGGAGCAGCAGGAACGAGAACGCATCCTTTCGGGTCACACCCCGGGGACCCACTCCAAGCAGCCCCGCTCCTCACAGCACCTTCAGCACGAAGTCTTCAGCCGGTGACCAGTGATCGGCACAGCGCCCTGTGATCCAAGCACCTTCCAAATGTGGGAGATTTTTGCAGAACATTTTGGATCCAAACCATGACACTTGGTCTTGGCCTATACTTTCTCCTCTCGTGTGTGTATCTGCATCTATGTCACGGAGGGGAGACAGGGCCCTTGCATGTGGCCCCACAGTCCAGCTGCATTTACCTGGAACCATCCATGTAGACTATAGTGTGAGACGCAGCATCCAGGTTAGGACAACTTTGGTGGTGTGCCGCCGTCCCAAGTATGAACTAAACTGTGGACGGATGGCACTATTTCATGCTCTTTGGAGTAGAGGCAATCTGAAATAGGGGAGGGAAAATTCCGTACTAGTTAGGAACAATGAAGTTTAAGAAAATTCAAATTCAAAATAGAAGCTAAAGAGTAATTTTAAGAAGATACACTACTTTATGCTGAGGATGTAGCTCATGGGTAGAGCACTGGTCTAGCGTGTGTGAGGCCCTGGGTTCAGTCCCTTGCCTCCCTCCTGCAAAAGGAGCAGCGTCCTGTGAAGATGAGAAGGGCTTTTAGTTTTCCATGGCTTTGTCTGTGTTTGCAGAGAGAGGCCACCTGTCCACCTGTATCAGGTGGTGGTCACCCAGCTCAGGGGAAGAGCACCTGCTGGGGACTGTGGGGTTGAGCTTCTATGGGAAGAAGCTGTCCCTTTTAGTATTTCCCAGGCTTTTGTGTTACGTGGTTATTTGCAGTTATCTCTCAACTGCACATATTATTAAAATCATCTCACCCATTGAGATTGTCACACAGTATTTGGCTGTTGGCGTCAGAAAGCCCTGTGTTCCCACAAAATCCTTCATCTCCTCTTTCTCACTGTTTTTGTAAGATGAGCAGACTTCTTCCTACTTTTGGGGTCGAAGTGTGTAAACGGATTAAAAGATAAAGGGAGGGGCTGAGGATTTAGCTCAGCGGCAAAGCGCCTGCCTGGCAAGTGCAAGGTCGTGAGATTGGTTCCCGGTACCGGAAAAAAACAAAAAAAAAAAAAGAAAAGATAAAGGGAAATCATGTAAGTAAGTGCATAGCACAGAGGAGGTGCTGAAACTACAGCGGGAAATAATAGTTATATAAAGCTCGTGGGTTTCCAGTGAAAGATGTTCTTGGTTTTGATCAACTAATAGTTATATTTAGACTGACTTACTTCCCACAGCTGAAATCCTAGGTTCTTCCCTGAAACATACGAGTTTAGAAATGCTCGCATTTGTAGAATTTATACTCCTAGTACTTCTACACATTGAGTTATTATTTTTTCTCTAACACATTTAGAAAAATTGAGCTATCATTAAAATACAATAAATTAATTAACATAATAAAATTCACCTCTGCACAGTGGATATCTAACAGTTTTTAATGTATTTGCACAATTGTACAATAATCTCACACTAATCCCAGAACATTTCCATCATTTCAGAAAGAAACCTTAGACTGGTATCTTTCCTCACCATTTTCCCTTCCAGTGGCCTCGGGCAACCTCTGACCTATTTTCTAACCTGAAGGATTTACCTGTTTTGGGTGTTTTGCATAAGTGGTACAATATGTGCTATTTTGTGACTGATGCTTGTCACTTGACAGAGTTTTTTTTTTTTTTTCATTTTCTTCTTTTTTTTAAAGAGAAAAAAACCATTAAAAATGACACAGACTTTCAAAACAAGAGGATAGGAAATTAACAGTGGTTATTATATTGTATATTGTTATCTTCAAAGTAGTTGCTAAGATTACCAGGTACATGCATGCAAAATTGATCAAACAGTGAAAGCACAAACTGTTTTCAATGAACTAATAGAAATTAGTAGTACAATTATCTTAGCTATCTTGCATATATATACATAACTTTTTTTCCCTTCCTTCTTTTCTCCTTTCCCCCATCCCAGTAGTTCTTTCCTTTTGAGCAGTTCCTTTCCCTTTCACAATATTTATTATACTGTTTGGATCTCATTTATTCTTCAACTCAGCTATTTCCCTTTCCTTTTTCCTAAAGAATTGAAAACATCATACCACAGCAATATATGTGCATCCATGTTTATAGCACCAAATTTGTAATAGCTAAATCTTGGAAACAATCCAAATGCCCATCAACCAAGGACGGATGGATAAAAAAGATGTGGTATGTTTATATAATGGAGTACTACTCAGCTATAAAGAAGGATAAACTCAAGGTGTTTAGAGGTAAAGGGATGCAATTGGAGAACATACTCATAAGTGAGATAAATCAGACTCACAGGCATAATATTTTTGAGCTTCATTCTACTTGTAATAATATATCAATACTCTGTTCCTCTTTGAGGCTGAATAATATTCCATTTTGTATACTAAATTATTGGTTGATGGATATTTGGGGCCATTTATACTTTCTGAATCATATGGTACTTTATTTTTAATCTTTTGAGGGCTTATCAGACTGTTTGCTAAAAGTAGGTATGCCATTTTACAGCCTTCCAGCAACCGAGGAGGATTCCAATTTCTCCACATCCTCACCAGTGCTTGCTTGCTGTCCATTTTTTTTCTTATAATTATTAGTGTGTGTCACTTAGAATCACAGTGTGAGTATGTGAAGTGTTTCTCTATTTTCTTGCGGTGGTGCTGAGACTCTAACCCAGGGCCTTGTGTGTGCTAGAGAAAGGCTCTTGTGCTGAGCTGCATCCCCAGCACTGTCAACAGCTTGTCACACACTGATTGCACACCTCATTGGAGAAAAAAACTATTCAAATCCTCTGCCCATTTCTAAATTGCTTTTATAAAAGTTTTGAATTGTCAGTTTTTAAAATATGCTCCTTTAATATGTTTTTTAATAAGTTCCTTATCAGAGTGATGATTTGCAAATACCTTCTCCTATTGTGTGTCATCTGTTTTACTTTCTTTTGTGACCTGTGATTGTGATTTAACCATTTATCTCTGGAGAAAATGGAATTTGGGGAAGGTTCTGCAACAGAAAGAACTTTAATGGCTGCATTGAGGGACTTTATATATTTAGATCAAGTTAATTCACCAAATTAATTGTTCATCTACTCAGTGCAAAATCCAAAGGGAAAAAAGCAAGCAAACTAAGTTATATTTTATAGGACAGTCTGGCCGGAATGGGACATAGTTCCTAACAGAAGGACCTAAAGATGCTGGCTCGAGTTGCTGATACGTTTGATTCTTCTTTGGACGTGACTTCTATATGTATACCTTCTCTTAATACCTGGAAAAAAGAAATTAGCTTCCTATTTTGAGCTCAGATGTTTAATCAATGCCGATTCATATGTTGGAAGAAATATTTCTGTCATTCCTGTATGCCCAATCTCTTTTATTTCTGTAACGCAGTATGAGCCGCTAATCTAGGTCTACAGGGACATTTGTGTTTTAAGCTTCTTTGTGATACATGTCTGCTTACATGTTTCAGAGCTAATGCAAACAGAAATGCATCACATCCAGACCCTGTTCATCATGTCTGAGATCTTCAGGAAAGGCATGAAGGAGGAGCTGCAGCTTGACCACAGCACCGTGGATAAGATTTTCCCCTGTTTAGATGAGTTGCTTGAAATCCACAGGCAGTTCTTCTACAGTATGAAGGAGCGCAAGCAGGAATCCTGTGCTGGGAATGACAGGAATTTCGTGATCAACCGGATTGGAGATATTCTGGTACAGCAGGTAAAGAAGGTTTGAGGGCTCTGACCTCAACCACCTAAAAGTTTGTTTCTTGGTTCCTTTTCTCTTGCTGAGACAAAATACTTGACACCTACAAGTTACAGAAGGAAAGGTTTATTTGGGCTCATATTTTGTAGAAATTTCAGTCCATAATTGTCAGGCTCCAAGGCGTGGTCGCATGGCAGAGGGGGCGTCACAGACGAGAAACGGTCCATGGCAGGGCAGGCAGAAAGCAGAAAGCAGCAGCCTCCTGCCTTCCATCTTTCCCTGTGTATCCCACCCAGGCTGCAAGTGGATAGATTGTTGCCACCCACACCCAGGGTGGGGCTTCCCATCATCCACACCCAGAACAATGCTAAACCAATCAGTGGGCTAATTTAGTTGTCACACACCTTTAGTCCATATTCACATGCCTAAGATTCAGCCACCTGTGAAAGCCCACCTATGAGCACATGAGGCTTTGGAAGGACATCTGTATACAATCCATAACAGTTTGTAACTTTTTACAGTACTAAAAACCTGTGAAAAAAACAGAATGGATTTCATTAAATTATTACCAGATGGGCTTGGCTGGTTTTATTTGATGTTGGTTGATGTTGATTGGCGTGGACCATGTCAGAGAGCTCCTAAGAGCCAATGATGGACTCCTGTGTGTGTCAGGACCTGTCTGGATTATCTGGTGCTGTTGCCGCCTCCACCAGGAGTCACAATCCTGAGTGAATCCCCTAGTGAACATTCTGCTGAGACTCCTCGATGTGGTGGGGGTCATGGATCCCCAGTGGGCTGTGATAGTCTCACCAGTGTGTCCCAGATAAATGCTGGCTTGAAGAATAAGGCAACTCTGCTGTCATTAGGACTCTAGGATTCATGTCTAGGCAATGAAACAATTGGGATTTCTTGGTATAGTCTACATATTAGTCTTTGTTGATTATATGGCTTGTGGCTGTTTCCTCTGGTGCCTTCTCATCCTCCAGTTTATCGGTTTTTCCTTTAAAGATTTTGCTTTTGGCATTAAGTCTGAGAGCTTTTGGTCTAGCCACAGATCTCAACGATTTTCTTCATTTTTTTCCTAAGAGTTTGATGGTTTACATTTAAATGTGTTCCACTTTGAGCATGGTTTTTATAAAAGAAAATGCTAGCTAACTTACATTTAGGATTTTTTCTTTAATTTCTATTTTTGGTATATGGATGTCCAGTTGCTGCAGCAGTATTTTTTACTGGAAAGGCTAGTATTTCTCCACTGAGTTGGTTTTTCATCTTTGCAAAAATCAGTTGAGCATTCTCTGTTTCTGTTCTGTTCCATTGTCAATGTTTCTGTGTAATCCTAATAATTGTGTGTGTGTGTGTGTGTGTGTGTGTATATATATATATAGAGAGAGAGAGAGAGAGAGATAGATAGATAGATAGATAGATAGATAGATAGATAGATAGATAGATAAGGAGGAGTCTTTACTCTTTTTCTAAAAATTGTTTAACCATGTCACTTCTTTTGCCATTTCAAATACATTCTAAGAGAGTCTTTTCTATATTTATAAAAATCTTGCTGGGATTTTGATAAAAATTACATTAAGCCTATATATCAAAGTGTGGAGAACTGATACTTTTGCTCTCTTGAGTTTTCCAATTCATGAATGTGGTGTACCTCTCCACTTATTTAGATCTTTGATATCTTTCATTGTCGTTGTGTAGTTTTCAGCATGTAAGTCCTACATGTGTTTTGTGAGAGTTTTAAAAGGCAATTGTAAGTGATTTAAGGATCATCTTTTGAGACATATTGACCTCACACATAGATAAAACTGTAAGCAAAGATAAAAATATCAGAGGTGGTGGTGTAAATTTTAAGTACTTTTCAAGGAGGGATGGATGTGTTCTGGTTTCTGTTGCAGTGATCTTCAACATGAATGTGTGCACATAGAGCTTTCGTAATCTAAGAATTTGACATTTAAATAATTCCACTAATTCTCTCAACACCATTCTGTAACTCTTAGCTCTTTTTCCTGTGCAGATTTTTCTACACAGGCTTTTCTTCTGCTCAGTTCTACTGAAGCGTTCAGGCTTTGTCTTTTCTTCAGTTAATAAATTGACATTCTGGTTACTCGTCATTTTCAATGGCAGAGTGCCTCTTAATCTACTTGTGATGTGTGGACATTCAATACATAAAAATATTTAAAATACAGATTAGAAGGATAAAGCTGTATAAAAAACCCCAAATAGAATAGACGACATGGAGTGTTTTTCATTTGCCTATTTGGTGAGTAGTATATTAGTGTATTATATTATAACATAATATAATCCTAAATTGACTCATCACTTAACAAGTTTCTTTTATGTTATTTTTAGAAGTCTCTGGGGAAGAGAAGTAATATATTCAGAAATTTAATGTTTGTTCTAAATTTGCTAGAAATATTTTAAACTCTATTAAAATTGCATGTTCTTTTCTATGTTTAAAACCTATTAAATTTACAATTACTGAAATGTTATCCTCAGTTTTCAGAGGAAAATGCAAGTAAAATGAAAACAATATATGGTGAATTCTGCAGCCATCATAAGGAAGCTGTTAGCCTCTTCAAAGAACTCCAGCAGAATAAAAAGTTTCAGAACTTTATCAAGGCAAGTATTTCAAAATTTGATTACAAAGTGGTAAACCAGCGTGGGGAAATCATCCATGCCCATGTCTTGTAGGATTTAGACAAGTTTCATATCTAGGTTCTTGTTTTCAAGGGAAAGAGAAGGAAGTGGTAAGTTTGTGGGAAAGATGGAAAATCTCTTTTCTATGTTACATATTTCTCCAGAGTCGTTTCTTTTGGTATCTTAAATCTGTGGGGTCATGTCCTCCAAACTTCTGCTAAGATTTACGATATTCTGGGAAGCTGTTTCATTCCCTGACAAGTCACATATCAGAGAAACCAAAATAAAAGCAAATACAGATTCCACCCAACCTCTTTCAAATTAGTTTCAGGTATTAGTTTGCTTCAAAATTAGAAGCAAATCCATGGCATCTTATAATTTCATCTGTAATATATATCTCTAAAGAGTCTGTCTTTTATATCTAAATGAATTAACAATAATTCTTCAATGTCTTCAAATTTCAGTGTTTATCTCATGAAATTGCATTCCTTCAATCAGGCTTTTACAAGATTCACATACTGTATATGGTGATTATCTCTTAAATCTCCTTTAAATTGAATATTCTCTTTCCCTTTTTCTCCTTTCCACTGTGCTTGTGGAAGAAATTTGTCCTATGATACTTCTTGAATTCTAAACTTTATTTACCATTTTAAGAATGTTACCATATCCTCTCTTTCTCTCTGTCTCTCTGTCTCTTTCTCCGTCTCACTCTCTCTCTGCATATAAATTGTGTTGAGGATTTGAAAACTTAAGGAATATTTTGTTTTTTGTTTTTTTTTTGTTTTTTCTCCGGTACCGGGAACCGAATTCACGACCTTGCGCTTGTCAGGCAGGTGCTTTTTGCCACTGAGCTAAATCCCCAGCCCCTTAAGGAATATTTTGAAATGTTCAGCAGAAAGTTGCCCTGCCTGGCAGGAACTTTAAGTGCTGTAATGCCTAATAACAAATATGGCAGAAGTCATACTGGCTAAACAAATAGCAAAATGAAAACTCATGCTCAAAATTAGCTTTGATTTCTGACTATTTTTCAAAAAAAAATGTTATTCATGATTTCTGATAATTTGCTCACTTTTGGAGTTAATTACACAAACATCAGAGTAACTTGAAATTTCTTGCGATCTTGGAGTATTGGGATATTGAAATTAATGACAAAGAGTAACAGTGATGATGCACCAGCTTTTAATTAATGATGATAAATACACTAGGTCTGAAAAGAATTGTTCTGTTGGAGATCTTTTGTATTACTAAATTTACAGCTAAAAAGTAAATACAACTGAGAATTTGTATATATAAAAATGTGCTTACTTTTAAGCTCCAAAATAGTAATCTTTTGGCTCGACGCCGAGGAATTCCAGAATGCATCCTTCTGGTCACCCAGCGCATCACGAAATACCCCGTTTTGGTGGAAAGGGTGCTGCAGTACACAAAGGGTGAGTGATGACTCCTGGACGGTGTTTGCCTTTCTTGTTAATTTAAAACATAGCCGAGGTGTGCTGAATGGCTAATAATGTTTGTATCCTCTGACTGGTAAATATTTCCATTATTTCTGCTAAAGCCCTAGATTTGGGGCTCACTTCGAGAAACTATCTTTTGTAATACAGCTGTCTACATAGTCTGAATTCTTATAAGTAGCTCAAACCAAGCAAGCTTCTTCACATGATCTTGCCTTTCCACCCATATGGACCTTTGTAGTACCTCCTCTTCCTGGTACTTTCGCAGCATCTGATGAGACGTGATGCTATTGTTGCCATCACCAAATGTCAGCTCTCCCCCGCAGAGAATTATCAGCCTAGAATGTTGTGTGAAAGAACTGTTTTGTTCCCATCAACTCGTCAGGTTTCAGGAGTAACATCTGAGCATCTTTTAAAAAACTATCAATGCACATGACTGGACTGTAAGCTCCTTGTAGGATTTATAAGGCCTGTGTCTGTCTGGTTCGTAGCTAGCTCTTCAATGCCTAGTGTAATGACTGGTACAAATTAGACTATCAGTCAGTAAGTACATAGTGCTGCAATGGGAGAGTAAGTTAAAACACCTAATTCTCAAACTAGCTGATCGACCTTGATTAAAACTTATTATTAGGATGGTAGGGTGTTATGTTAACACGGGCAATGGACTTGGCATTGTGTAGATTTGCATTGCCATTGTATATATTAGCTCTGCTCCTTAATAATTGGGCAAATTAACTGAGCTTCAGTTTTCTCTATTACAAAGTAGAATTAATAATCCTAGCTTTATGGAACTGTTGTGAGAGTTAAAGGAGATTGTGTCAGAAAGTGTCCAGTACAGAGCTGGTATGAGCAAAGTGTTTACAAATGGGCATTGGGGTTTTTGTTGTTCTTTTTGCCATTATTTTTATAACTTGATTAAAATGGCATCAGGATCTTAAATCCCCACTCTACAAAACTTATCTCCTAATCCTTTTCCTTGGAGGGCATCTAAATAACATGCCTAGTTTATTCTTTCCATTTTTTTAAAGTCACATTTAGAATTAAGGCCAGGCAAGGATGGTGGCATCTACTCCTTAGGTCCCATATCATTGTTCTGCATAATTTAATGCTCAAGAGAATACAAAAATAATATAAAAAGAAAAGCTTCATAAGTTTTTTTCTCAGCAGAAGAATGAAGACAAAGTTAAGGCTTTTCAGCTTGTATCATGTTTATATTCATTCTCTGAAATTTATCACTGCAATTCAAGGACTGAAATCTGTCAGATTGTATTAGTCAACTCTTGCTACTTCAAGATCGTTCTGTGCCAAATTCCTGGTAAGAGGATTGGTAACTGTAGAATCCCCTATGGCAAAAGCTGGAAGTGTGAGATACGGGTCCCCCAGCATAGTTAGCATGGTGGCAGGTAGACTCCCCTCCTCAGAACAGCCCGTACCAATGTCCAGTCACTCTCGGACTTCTAGGATGTTGGGTCACATGACTCGTTATGACTGTGCTCCTCAAACCTTATTAGCCATCCCCTCCTCCTGGAGGCCTTGCCTACATGCTAACTCTGAGTGAGGGGCGGGGAGCAAGGCCAGCATTTCTGACAAGATTCCCGGGGAGCGCTGACATTGCTGCACTGCGAGTGACCAGGCATTGCAAGACACTGTCCAAGGACACTGTCCAAAGATGTGGAGCCTTTTCCTGGCCTTGCCCCCTGTCACCCTGGAACTTAGTTTCATTTTCTGTACTCAGCTTGTCTACTGATGAAGTAGGTTCTTTAACAATAAGACCCTTCTTGTTTTTTTGTGTGTTTGTTTGTTTAGTTTTTTTTCCAGTACCGGGATGGACTCACGACCTCGTGCTTGCCAGGCAGGTGCTGTGCCCCTGAGCTAAATCCCCAGGCCTTAAATGTGTTTTTTGTTTTTGTTTTTGTTTTTGTTTTTTGGTTAACAATAAGACCCTTTCTGAAGGAAGCAGCTTTGGGGAGATGAGGTAAGGCAGTGAGGTAAATCCTTCAATAAGTGGGGAGAGAACCTTCCTTGTAAAGATGGGGGTCAGGATCAGTTCCTTAGGGTTTCCTAATGAACGCCTCACAAATCTATGAAGATATTCAGACTTGGGACCCTTGAGACCCTTTGGAGGCAGATCCCCATTTGGCTGGACTACTTCTTCTAAGAATGTATTTCTGGGACTCTGGACTCAGGAGAACCCCTGGATTATCTATGAGTTTTTCTTTTCTTTCCTTTAGTGCATTCTGTTCCCATCATCCCAGTCCACACCAACTAGATAATCTTCATCATCACATAGGGAAAAATTTTGCTAAATTCGCTTGCATTGGGAGAGTCAGGGGGCTGTTGCTGAAACTCCTCTAGGATATTTTCTTAAGGTAATCCAGGTGTGAGAGCAAGTGAGCAGTACTTTAAAGACTAACAGCTGGACTTGGCCATTATTTACTCGTTTGTCTTGAGCATGGCTGATTTACCCATTTTGCGCAGTGTCTTGGTCCCATGGAAATATTTCACTTTTTCACAATCGGAAGGGGAAAAATAAAATGTTACATCAAATAAATGTTTTAACTGTAATATGAATATATGTGTGTCTTTGCTAATATGGCTATAATGTATAGTTTTGTTTTTTGTTTTTTGGGTTTTTTTTTGTTTTTTTTTCTGGTACCAGGAATCAAACTCACGACCTTTTACTTGCCAGGCAGGCTCTGTGCTGCTGAGCTAAATCCCCAGCCCTGAGGGACTAGTTTTGAATATTTTTGTAGAGGAAGGGATCCAAGAAGGCAGTTGAGTCTGGGACTTCTTCAGATCACCCTGTGACTGCACTGCTGGGTCAGTTCTTGGGAGCTCATTGTGGGAGTCACTTGGTAACCTGTGTCCAGGAAGGAAGGCCCAACTTCATCTATGACACGTTCCCTGCTGCAGGGGGAGACGTCATACTCAGCCTTAGAGCACCAATATCTTATTGTCAATTAAGTCACATCTAATAATGCAAATCTTCTGTCATAAATATTTTAATGGTTCTTCTTCGGCATGTGGGCGAAGTGGAACGATCATATAAGTTTGAATTTAATCTAACATTTTTCTAATGGGATTTCTGCCAGTTGGGTGATACATTTCACTATATTTAAAAACAAAAGAAGAAATTTCTTTTCTTGCCCTCTGGCTTATTGCATGGTGTTCTCCCTTTCTCCTTCCCGTGCAGAAAGAACCGAGGAACATAAGGACTTATGCAAAGCTCTTTGCTTAATTAAAGATATGCTTGCAGCTGTGGATCTAAAAGTTAGCGAGTATGAGAAAAACCAGAAATGGCTTGAGATCCTGAATAAGATTGAAAACAAAACCTACACGAAGCTCAAAAACGGCCACGTGTTCAGAAAGCAGGCACTGATCAGTAAAGAAAGGACACTGCTATACGACGGCCTTGTTTACTGGAAAACTGCTACAGGCCGCTTTAAAGGTACTGTGTTCCAACTGCACCAGCACTCCTCTTTTCATGCATCTTATCCATTCTGCAGAGGATGGGTTTTTTAAAAACAAGAAGGTCAGACTTGCCAGCAGACACAGACAAACCCTTGACTTTTCAGGTGAAAGTTTAAATTGTGAAGTTCAATAGGCAAATGTGAGTGGTGGTGCAGATCTTTGAAGGGAGCTCACTGCTCTGAGCCAGAACCTTCCTATGTATTTTTATGAATCTGCAAGTTTGCCGTCTAAATCAAAGGCACTGAGAGTTCTGCTAATTGTTAGCATGGAAATGTAGTTCTGGCAAGTGTGGTGTGTTGAAAGCAAAACAGTACACCGACACGGCCAGGGTCTGTTGTGTGCCAAGTAGCCTGGGGCTGTCAGACAGGGCAGAGAGGGGAAAACACTGTGAATATCGACTTTGCTGTTGCGTCAGGTAACACATCTGCATACCTGCTGGCGCTGGTATAAGCACTGTTTTGGTGCTCCTGTTCAGTAAGGGTTATTAACTGGAGTCTGTAAACCTGGCTAGAGTCTAAAATAGTTTATTTCAGTTGTTAAGAGCCAAGCACATAGCTAGTACCTTGCCTGACTCAGGGTTTTTTTTAACTTGGTGACATTAGAGTCACCTCTAGAGCTTAAAGAACGAATCCTGCTTACATCTGCCCTGTGAGTTCTGATATTTTTGGTCATGAGATCAAGCCCAAGACCTAGGGATGTTTGAAAGCTCTCTAGGGAAGTCTGCTCTGCAGCCAGGTCTAAGAACCACAGGTCTGCTCTTCTTCTTTTTATTTTTTTTCCTAACACTTCATCATAATAACTTCCTCGGGTATGCAATGAGAAGTAGAAGTTGTTAAATTCTAGTTCAGTGTCTCATTACTCTGACAATCCAGTTTTGATGGAAGTTCAACTAATATCTGAACCAGATTTGCTGATCAACAGTTTACAATGTTGTGTCAAAAAAAAAATCTTAACTACAACAGCTAGATTCTGGGGCATCTTGTCCATGTAGTAGAATGAGTGGTTTGGTAGCTTTGGGTTGCACTGATGGAGTAAAGATGGTTCTTGTAAACAGTGTCTCAAACCTTGTTCTGATCCGGGAGAACAGAGAAGCAGGCTTTCGTGTGTGAGTTGAAGGGAAGTTCTCTCTTACATTTTTAATTAAGCACCTTTCCTCCTAAATATAAGGGTTTTGTTAGAACCCTTATATTTTATATTTTCCTTTCATTTTGAAAATTGCAGCATTCCATTTTTCTGGAAATCAGCTATAGTCACACATAAACACGTCCAGTTAAACATGGGTTTCTACTAAGCTATCTGTGTATCTCTAGCTGTAATAATCTAGGGGATTGTAAAAGTTTCATAATTAGGCTCAATGTTTTATTATTAGTCTCTTATTTTTATTAAATCGTATTTAGATTTCAAATGTGAAATTTGGGTATTTAGTCAAGTCATTTGAGCTATAGTTTGCGTCACTAATACTAAGAATGTTTTTTCTTTGAAGATATCCTAGCTCTACTTCTAACTGACTTGCTGCTCTTTTTACAAGAAAAAGACCAGAAATACATCTTTGCAGCTGTGGTAAGTATATGATGCATATTTTTAATAATAGATTTAATCTGCATTTCCTTGAAAAATCCCTGAACTTCCTAGTAAACTGAAATGGTCACTACAATGCAAGAGCATGGGCCTGTGCTATTCCCACTGTGTCAGCGATCTCACAGCTGGGTCAGAAGTGAGCGTCACCAGTGGTGAAAACATTGAAGTACTTCGATACTGGATGAGGACAGGCATTGCCCTGAGACCCCGTGGGCTTCCCAGCTGGCTGCTACCCTACACTTTCCTCTAGTTCCCTTTTCTCACCCGCTTCTCTCAGATTTAGCAGCTAAGATGCTAATGCTGGGCACCGTTTCCAGCATCTTACCCTCTCTGTTCCTGTTGGATGCTGCCCTTGTTGTAGCACTTCCGAACCCCACTCATAACTCTCATGGTGATCTTCTACCCCACAAGACAACACCATCCTGGAATCAGAAGAAGAATTTTATTTCCACTACAATGACTTCTGACGGTTAAGGTTGTTCATATAACACTGGACTTCATGACGTCTAGGTTAGTCTTGTCAGCACACAATTAGACCAGCAGTAAAAACCAGTATTTTGTAATATTCCTTAAGCAGCGTTTATGTGGTCCAGAATAGTGCAGAGAAGACAGATGTCGTCAGTTCACTCCTCGTCAGCCTGACGGAGCAGCAGGCCCTGACGCAAGCCACAGTCCTAGTCTGGGAGCATAATAGTGGCTCTGTAGAGTGGGAGTGTTTACTGTCCGCTGAGTGATGGCCTATTTAGGGGCACGAGGAGATAGCATCAATTCCATGTGGCTGCAGAAAATTCGAAGTTTAATGAAGTTTCTGTTTTAATGACATTTCTGTTCTGCTGCTTAGAGAAAACAAAGCACATCAGCCTAGCCATAGGGCTGTAGAGGGCAGAGGCCTGAGCAGTGTCTCCCCTGCCCGCTCTAACTGATTAGGCTGCCTGAGAGGCTTCTCCACCCTGTTCAGCCACTGTGATACAAGTTGTATGAAGGTCAGAAGGCTTTGTCACAGAGCTACAGCAGAGGATGTCAAGAAGCCTAACCAAGTCCTCGGGTCCCTGATCCATTTGCACTGAATTTCCCACAAATTGCACAAAAACTTCCTGATTTGCCCAGCAGCCTTTTAATGCTGTTATTTGGGACACCTTGAATAAACAGAGGAAAAGGTGGAAAGGTAGGGACCATTTTGTTTAAACTGGGAGATGATGAGGGCCAGGCAGGAAGAGAAATATTTATATTGTATCTTTATAGAAACAAGGATTTCTTCAAAGCGAGAGACCTGTAATGAAGCAAATCCTGCTTCTTGGGTGGTATCACAAACTAACTGGCCTGCAGATTGCTCAAGAACTAGACTCAATATAAAGACAACTATCTTGCTTTCTAGGACAGCATCACATAGGGATTCAAATCCAACTGTGATGCTCAACTTCCTGTATGACTTGAAATATACATCTGTCTCTCTTATCTCTCGTGACCCTTGCAGAGTTATCTGTACCACCCAGAGACGACACTTTCCTTTAAGTGGGAGGTGAAGAATGCAGTCTGCAAATAGCAGAAGGCCAACTAGCCAGTAGGCAGCCATAGCTTATCTCTTCTTGGTAGAATGTATTTAGTCATGGACAACAGTATAATGTTGCAGATACTGTTTCTGGAACATGTTAGCCCGATGCATGGCTATATTCATAAAGGTGATATTATGGAGCAAAAGAGAAAGCCTACCTTATCCTTAAAAAGTCAAGGTACTGTATTGTTGGATCACATATTCTGCATCTCTCTGACAGTAGCCTCTGTGTCATCACTGAGGTGAACATCACAGAGAGTTGAGGCGTTAGCTAAGGGCATACAAACAACTGCATCTCTAGTTCTCACCATAGTTTTTATGGAAAGTTATGCACACACTAGGACTGATGGTGAGATTCTACATTCTTTGTGCACTTTAGAATAATTAATTACTTTTAGTAGATGCGTATCCTGCTACATGTTCTAGAAGACACGATGACTTTGTTTTTATTGGTACATATGCGCAGTACACAATGATTAAGTTCACTGTGGGAAGTTGGTACATGAACATAACACATCCTAATTCTTCTTTTATCCCCTTTCCCTCCTCTCCTTCCTCCTCCCTCCACCTCTTGGCCCCCTTCTTTCATGGAAGTCCTATCATAATGACTGGAAATGTCTAAATGACTGAGGGGAACAGAATAGAGTCATGTCCTTACCAGAGTTTTGTTTTTTGTTTCTAAAGAAGGTTCATCTGGAAATAGGGGATAGTATCCAAACCTAGAAAATTTATAGGAAAAAGTAGATGTGTTCACTAAGTCCCAGACTTTTGTGTCTACAAAGAATCTCTTGAATACCAAAAAAGACAATTGAGAAATTACATAAGAGGACAAAGTAAATGTGTAGATCTGCAAGGTCAAGTTCAAAACAGGAAGCAAACCAAAGATATTTTCATCACAGTGGAATCACACGCTGATGGAATCAGCACAGAATGGTCAGGGTGGAGGAGAAAGGTTAAGGACAGCAGCTTCTTTCCCTCTTTCCTGACAGCAGAGGTCCTCAGCTTCAAATACCGGTAGGGACTGGGCAGAAATATAAATGTGCAAACCCAAACGGAGTCAGTGTCGTGAGACAACAGAGGGCAAGGGGGATTGTAGTCAACCAGTGAGTCCATGTCTCAACTCAGATTGGACAATGATTACTCAGCTGTATAGACAGTGTTTTAAAGTGACAGTGTGGGCCCAGGACTGCCAGTCTTCTGTTTTTTCTCAGGCACCCAGCAACCTAGAAAATTTTAAAAGGTTCAGTCTTCCAGTTTTTAAACATTGGCCACTTACTTTTTTTTGGCGGGGGGGTTTCCAGTACCGGGAATCAAATTCACGACATTGTGCTTGCAAGGCAGGTGCTGTGCCGCTGAGCTAAATCCCCAGCCCCTGGCCACTTACTTTTAAAAAACTACTTTTAAGTGCTATGGCACAAACAAAACATGCGGGCTAGGTTAGGCCTTGGTGTCTCCAGTGTTCGCTATCGGTCTCCAAAGCAGACGTGTTTCCTCAGCTTCTGGGAGTTTGAGTGCTCGTTCCCTGCTGGTGTTTAAGTGTGAAGGGTGTGAGTAATGATGGATGCATCTCTCATGCCTCCTGGTTTGGTCATGATTTAATGAGTGCTGTTTTCTATGCTTTTATTTATTCTTCACTTTTGAAAGATCTTACCATGCCTCTCCCCTCCTCCTCCAACACTATCCAACATGTTCAAATAGTGTCACTATCTCTCATATCCTAATTCAAACCCACTCTGTTTTACATACAGAGGGCATTTACCTTGTAAGCTGAGGAAGCTGAAATGCTACACCGAAACAATGAAAGCAGATAACATCTTGGAGAATAGCTCCATTATAGGACAGGGGCATTAATGATGCTCAGAGGCCCTCTCTCATTCAGAGGGTAGCATTCCAGAAAGCTTGCCACAAAACTGCTTTTGCTTCCACTTTCAGCGGCATAGCATGAAATTAGGTAGACCAGTAGTTTGTCTCCTCATGATGCATATTTTTTCATATCACTCTAAGAAACATAAGAAGGGATCCCTGGTCCATCCTGGCACATAGCTGCAGATGTGGCACAGCTATGCAATGCTGGGAAGACAGTCCAGCTAGCAGCAAGGAGTCAGTGGTGGGGAGCAGAGTACCGTGTTCTGGATGAAGGCGTCACTCTGTCCTTGAGGGAGAAACAAAACCATACTCTGCAGCTGACTCTGTAAACAGTGGTGGAAGCCACAAACCAGAGCAGATTCCTTATCTTTACCCCCAATGCCACTCATTCTACAGCCGTTCCTTTAGCCATCCTTTCAACTACAGCTTCGTATCCCAATCAGTGTTGTGAGTCCTCATCCCCAAGTCTGCTTGTGCTTAGTGAGGGGTATTGAAGCTCCACAGTAAATAATGGTAAAGAAGGTGATTTAATCATGGCGTGGACACCAAATTGTAGACTTTCTTCCTATTTCCCTTGGGGGGAATTGTAGTAAAATCTAATTCTACATTACCGAGTGCCTGCTCTGCAAAGTGTACAAAGATGAATTAGGCTCTTTTCTGTCCACCAAGGGCTCCTCTGGTTGGTGAGAAGAGACAGCTACAAGCAGCGCTGTAGTTCTGCTGCTGAGGTCTGCAGGACGATAGCGGAGGTGCTAGGTCAAGCCAGAGACTCTAAGGTCTTCTTCTTCATTCTTATTTTCTGTCCTACAGTGCACCTCTTCCATTTCTAGAGTTCTGTTTCCATTACAGAATTGAAACTGAAGTTCTATAAATACCCAAATTCAATAGACTTTTTATATCCTTCATTTTCGCAATCTCTTTGTAATATTTGATAGACTATTTTCCAGTCAAGTCCTCCTAGAAAAGTACCTTCTCCTGTGGCCACAGCATTTTGATATTTTTTCCTGCCTCTCTGATTTTTCTGTCTTTTTAAAAGCAGTTCTTTTAAACCACTATCTTTAAGGACCCACATTCCCCTTAACCTCATCTTTCTATCCTTTCTTCTGTCCACCCTCTCTGATGGAGAGCTCAGCAACTTCTGCAGCTCTTTTGAAAAGGTCCAAAAGGAAGTACAGGGGACCCTTGAGTTATGACTGTCCTACACTACAAGCAACATGGGTTATTACTGGACTTTTAGTTTAGCTTGGGACCAAAGTCTGGAGTTGTGACCCAAATGCTGGCCACTTGTGCTTCCGGATGGTCTCCGATACAGATTTAACCCTTAAGGCGTTCTGGAAGGAACATTACAGCATCCTTTCCTGTATGGGCTTAGTTGAGAAATCCTAGGCCAGTGTCTCTCTCAGGACACTGAGATCTGCCTGTACACAGGAGAGAGACTCTGAAGGCTGTAGAGGAGCCCGAGCCTTCAGCTGACAACCTGAGTTCCTGCCAGCCCTCCGAACGCACTGAGTTCCTAAGTCACCATAAAGATTTCTGTAGTCCCATTACTCTCTGCGGCTCATGGGTTTGGGGTGACTCACTTCAGAAGACGCTGTTTCATCTGAACATTCTCCCCTCCTCGGTAGGATCAGAAGCCATCAGTTATTTCCCTGCAGAAGCTCATTGCTAGAGAAGTTGCTAATGAGGAGAGAGGAATGTTTCTGATCAGTGCTTCATCCGCTGGTCCCGAGATGTATGAAATCCACACCAACTCCAAGGAGGAACGGAATAACTGGATGAGGCAGATCCAGCAGGCCGTAGAAAGGTAACCTTTTTCTCTGCTGGGAGTCTATGGCATGGACGTGTTCAGCAGGGAAAGTGTTCTAACCGCATCTCCTCTGTGTGAAACATTGCCTCAGCCAGCATGCTCTGCTCCCTGCCCCCGCCCCCATCTGCCTGCGGAAGCCCCGCACCTGCAGCTCTGCCTTCCGCTCACCTTCCCGCATGCAACGCCGTCCCCTGCCCACTGCCTGGACTTTTGCTGCAGCTCCTGGCTGCCCTGCTTCGCGAAGACCTCTTCAGTCCGAGTGACCTCTTCCTTACCCGCAATGCTTTGCCTCCTGCTCCCTAAGGCAGTTATTTGGTGCTTGGCATACACTGTCTTGTAGCTACTATCTTCATGCAGATACGTACATGGGTGTTTATGTCTTTAGACTGGAAGCTCCTTGAGAGCAGGGACTAGGCCATATGTCACCCTATGGGCTGAGTACTGAGGAATCATTTAATAAAAAATGTCTAAGTCAATCCATTCCTCCTTACTTGTGCAAGCACAGTTTTTGTAAATGAAGGTGTAAGAGAGGCTGTGATCAATCTTAAGGTAATTTGATGTGTTGGATCTGGATATTGTATAGAATTCTTCCTCCTGCTCTACGTTCCACCCAATATGGTGCCCTGTTCCCATCCCTTAACCCTTCTACCCTTCCTCCATTAAGAGCAGAAGTGCCCAAATGTCGTAAAAAGCAAGAATTATTACCTTAGTTGTACTTAATGCCAGCGTGAGTCATGCATGTGCCTGTGCATGTGTGTGCATATGCGTGCACATGCATGTATGTGTGCATGTGTGTGTGTGTGTATTTGCTGGAATGTTCGAGTCATCCTGTACTGCTGACTTTGAGAGCCAGATTGTGTTTATTATGGAAGATCCTTTATATACTCTGGAAGATCCCTCTTGTGGCCAGGCCAGGGGGTATGATGGTTCTCTTTATGCTGAATTTTTCATCTTTATGAATAACACTGTTACCAAGCTGCCCTGTTTTTTAATGAGCCTGAAGACGCTTGGATTTAGCTTCTTTTGTGTCTCTCAATTGCTGTCTTTTAAAGTTGCCCGGAAGAAGAAGGGGGAAGGACAAGTGAGTCTGATGAGGAGAGGCGGAAGGCTGAAGCCAGAGCGGCAAGAATCCAGCAGTGTCAAGGTACAGCTGGGCATGCCTCGCCGGCTGTGCTGCCCCGGGGTTTGGGAAAGCCCTGGTGCCATGCAGGGAAAGTCCTGACTGAGTGATTGTAAGTACCCGAGGCCCAGCCTGGTCACCCACTGGAGAAAAACCTGACCCTAGGCGATAGCTGCGGGCAAGCTGGGGCGCAGGAGCATGGACATTGGTGGCTGCTGGTTTAATTTAAGTTTAGGTTGCAACACTGTCTGGTCACAGTTGTACACTACTGCACTCATAGTCTGGTCACTGAGTGCAAATCTTTGAAGTAAGGAAATAAGGTTAGCTCTATTTTCAGTTCTGGCTGGACATTAGGCGCATACAGAGAGCTTGTTACTGATGCCTGGGCCCCTTGTCCATCTGAATCAGAATCTACACAGTGTGGGGTGTGGATCTGAGTGTTTTAAACTCTCCCCATGTGATTCCAAGGAGCACAGAAGACTGCATCTCCCTAAAGTCCTTGCCAGTTAAGGTCACTGAGCTTTAAGAATTCTCTAACATGTTGCAATATGAGGCTGATCATGGTCAAAGACATTAGGTGTTTAGAAACAAAAACATAAGCCAGTGTGTTTGGTTTTGACGAATATTGGCCAAAGCCCGAGGCATTTTAGGCCTTCACCTTGTTTTCCCTGTGGGCTTTCCCTCAGTGTGGATGAGACCACCTCAATTTTCATTCCTGAGCTGGTGTTCAGTCTTAATAGGAACCAGCCTGCATAAACAAAGCATGGCTTTGCCTGGTTTTCTGAAATTAGAGGAATGGGGAAGAAAATAAGCGTTTACTGAGTGCAGTGGAGGTGGAGAGTTGCTAAGTCCTTTACCAGGGGTGCAGACAGTGGAAGAGTCAGGATTTGAACCAGGGTCTGCCCTGTCCAACCACATGTGCTTTACCTTTAGAGCAGGCAGCTTGCTCTTGTAATTTGGATGTGCATATCAGTTGTTGTATTCATGGGAGTGATCACCTTGTATGGTAAACACTGTTTCTTAGAAATACTCAGTAACCAGGACCAGCAGATCTGCACGTATCTGGAGGAAAAGCTGCACCTCTATGCTGAACTTGGGGAACTGAGTGGCTTTGAGGACGTCCACCTGGAGCCCCACCTCCTCATTAAGCCTGACCCGGGAGAGCCCCCCCAGGCCGCCTCCTTACTGGCTGCAGCACTGAAAGAAGGTGAGTTGCTTTGGAAGGGATTTGATTTGACCACTTCTGGAAATGTTTATGCAGTGCCCACCGTGTGCCATACATTAGGGTGTCTGTGCTGAGGGTATAGCAGCACAAGATAGAGTCCTTACTTCCCTACAATTTGTGTTCTAGAAACGGCAACACATAGAGAAAGAAGTATGCCAGGCTATATCAATGTTGGGATATGAAGAAGGATGAGCAGGTTAAGGGGTGGCGGTGACAGAGTTTGAGTGGCTCTGTTGCAGATGGGGTGATGCAGTGATGTGTAAGCAGACTGAAGGAAGTGAGGGGACCAAAGGGTGCCCTGGGAAAGAGTGTCCCAGACACAGGAAGGAGCAGGCACAAAGGCCTTGAGGCCGGCGAGTGCCAGGCTTGCTTGAGGAATTGCGGGGGGGGGCAGTGCAGATTAAGTGAGGTGGGGAGGTGGGGAGTGGCAGGAGACGAGCCAAGAGTTAACCAGCTCTCGGGTTCCGTGGAGCCAGAAAGGGCTTTGGATTTCATGCCGCAGGAGATGAGAAGCGCCGTGGATTTTCAGTGGAGGAGGGACCCAGCTCGTGTAAAAGCAGCCCTCTGCCTGTGATGTGGAGAACAAAGCGTGAGGCAGCAAAGTACAGATCCTGGTAGTGACAGAGTCTAGGTCATAACATGGCAGGTGGTGGCCATGCTGGGAGGGACCCTTGGAAACAAAACAGTTGAGGAGACCAGAGGTCGTGGTAGCAGAAGGGTGCTTCAGGGCTGGAATTACTGAGAACTGGTGGGGATGGACTAAAGTAGGGACAGCACGTGTGCCGGGTGTGAGCTTGTGCTCACAGGCACAAGACAGGCAGGTGGCAGGGGGTGCAGGTGGAGGCCAGAGGTCAGGTGGCAGTGGCTTAGAGGCTGGCAGGAGAGATGAGGATAGTGGCCTAGAAGTGACAGTGGTGATGAAGGGGTAGCCACCGCCTGAGTGATGAGGGTGCAGTTGTTCAGACTAAGGGCTGGTATGCGGCCTTGGGCCCCTTGTGTCTCCCCGCCTGCTTCGGTGAATGAGTTTTATGGGAGCACAGCCTCGCTTGCTCACGGTGGCTGTGTCTGGTGCCTGTTTCCCAGCACGGCAGAGATGAACGGTGCTGAGTCTATATGGCTCACGAAACCTGCCGTGCTAACTGCGGAAACCGGGCGCTGCTGTAGCGCCTCAGAGCATTCCTTGCAGGAGAGAATTCAGAAATCGCATCTGTTATCTTTGTTTCACAGTGGAGGAAGGCAGGGTCTTCAGAAGGGCACCGCGATGTGGGCAGTGGGGCCACCACCAGAATCATCGGTTTATTTGTCACTCATCACACGTTCACTAAGGAAATCTCCAGTTCTTACTTGTCGGAAGCTATGCCTAAAGCAGTCGTACGATGTTCCCAGAGTATCTTATGAATCGAATAGTTGCAAAGAGTGTTTTAGAAATGTGCGTAGGGGCTCACAATTCTGTTCATCCACACTGGCGTTGAAACCCTTTGGTTGTAAACAAAGACTTCGTCTCCTTGGTGTGGTGTTGCCTAAGCAGTCGTGAGTGCTTGATTTGAACACACATCTCATCTTTGGAGAATTTGTCCCCGCGGGTCTAGAGTGAAAACTGGGAATCCCCATTATGAAAGGCAAGTTTGGAGACATGCTCTTTTTGAAGAACAGCTAATATTTCTGAATAACAGCTTTAAGAATCATGCTGCCTGATAGCATAATTATATTAGTGGAAGTACAGGAATTTTTTAAGCATACTAATTTACTGAAAGTTGCCTTTGAGATATTTTTATACAGTGAGCTTTTACTTTGTTATTGCGGTAATTCTCTACTGCAAAATGATGCTGACAGTACTGATTTTGATTGCAGGAGCTCACACATTTTCTGTAAAAGGCCAGAGTACACACATTTTAGGCTTCTCGGGCCGCGCTGCCTCAGAGATCTATTCCCAAGAACACCTCCGCGAACAAGCTTTCCAAAGCAGAAAGTCAATGTTTAGCTCCTGGGCGATGTAAAAACAGTGCACTTTGTCGAATGTGCATATATGTGTTCTGCGAATTTATTTATTTTTCTGCTTCTTAGCGGAAAGTCTGCGCATCGCAGTGAAGGCCTCGAAGCTGCATGGTGTGAGTCACTCCTCCAAGGACACTGGTGCAGAGTCTGCCTCGAGGGGTGCGCTGGGCTCTGACGACGTCCCAGGCTCGCCTGCTGCCTGTAAGTGAAAGTGCAGACCTTGCACACGGTCGGTGGAACCTGGCATGGTCACCTAAAGTGAAAGCACCGGGTCTATCTCTATTGGGAGGAGACTAAATGTATTTTTTTAAATTAGAAAAAAAATGACATGAGCTAGGCCAGCCATAAATACTTACTGTGTTCATAGAGTACTGGTATGGTGTCCCAAGGATAACGACTCCCAAGTGGTTCTCTGGTTCTGTTTCTCATCCAAACACTGCTTCTCCCCGAAACCATTCCTGGCCTCATTTTGCATGTGATGCATTGAAAACAGTTTTGAAAGGACCAAGCTTTGGTTGTGTGGCCCACGGCAGAATTACCAAGGTTTTGACATTCATTGCTATATACTTTATTGTTTATTTATTTGTTTACTTTTTGCATTACCATATACTTTAATGTGGGTGTCAAAATTTATATTAAAACACCATTCTGATTCATTTTAAATACAGAAAGACCAGAGAATTGGTTCAGGTAATTTCTCGGAACCTAATTATACTGTTGTATGTGTAGTGTAAGGCCAGAAAGGGTTCCAAAATAATAACGAGCATCTTTTTCTCATGGAGTGGTTGATAAAATCTTTACTTCGAAAAGGTCCTATATGTATACAGTAAAACATCTTCAGAAATGAGGGATTGGAGGATTGTATGGTTTTCGCATTTCTTTGGTCTATACATGGTATAGTTTTTTAATTCTATACATTTCTTACAAGCAGCAATCATTACTTTCCCCTCTCCAGTTCTGCTTTATCTAATCTGGGGTTTCTATTTTCAGAATGTGCACATATGCTTTCCATTTCAGCACAGGCTGGATTCATCAGGGGAATCGTGCCCTGGGTGATTTCCCTTTACAAGAAGAACCTCATTATGCCATTGAGGAAGTTCTGTCTAAAAATAACTGTAGGCCTCTGTGCATTCTGCCTCACCCCGAGGACAGCTGGACAGGCCCCGCTCAGCCCGCAGCTGCTCAGAGTGAGGGCCCCTCCCCTCCATCCCTCCTCCGTCCGTCCCCCAGGCCAGGCAAGAGGGCTGTCCTGTCCGCATCTGTTCTCCTGTCCTTTGGGAAAGCTGCCAACAGCCACTCATGGGATATGCTAGAACCAGAGCAGTTCCATAGCAGCAGCCAGGTAGAGGCGCTGCAGGGGCAAGTGGTAGGGTCCCCCTGTCCCCCAAAGGCCCCTCTGTCCTGGGAACATGGTGCCCCAAGAGGCTGATTCTCTTTATAAAGTTATTAAGGGCACAATATTGTCCTAAATGAAGACCCATAACTTATGGGTCTGTTCTGCAATTGGCTTTACATCTGGGCCCTTCCCTGTGAAACCCAAGTCAGACTGAGTGCGTAAGCCAGGCAGAGTGCTATTTTCGGTCCCCAGACTCTTGATCGCGTAGCCATGTGCAGTCTAGCTTCGTGAAGTCTGGTGTGCTGGAGACCCTGCACCCTCTCTGGGGTGGCCCATGGGGAAAGAACTTGCTTCAGGCTCTGCCCTCATGTGGCTCCTCGCTGGCTCCTGTACACACCAGATTGTCCCCATCTCTATGAGGCACAGGAGAGGAGGAAGTGGCTGATTATGGGGTAGTGCTTTTGGCGTCTCTTTGAAGAGTTAGGAGGGGCACCCAGAAGTGGACACACTTTTTAAGGGGCAGAAAAGTCTCTATGAAATGTGCCTTCATTATCAGTGAGCGGCACGGACACAGTGAACTTGACTTTCAGCTGATGTCATCTGAAGCAGTTTTTGCAACAAAACACTTCTTTGTTTTAGAAGAGGCCTTCAGAGGCCTAGACAACGCTCGTTCTCCAAAGGTAGAAGTATTTCTATTCATTTAAACACAGAGAAAAACCATTTCCTCCACTGGAAATAAAGTTTCAAGATGACACTGAATAAAAATTTTTATAAATTTATAAAGTGAGCATGTTTCTCCTCAGGGTGCTGGTTAGAGAGTGTGCAAGGGCTGTGAGAAGTCTAGTTTTACTCAGTGCGGGGTGGCGCACCGTAACCGTTCCCCGAGTTCACATGGTACATAAGTCAATCAGTTCCTGCCGGCAGAGAGTTAATGGATGAAGTGAAATTTGTATTTGGTAGTTAAGGATATTTCTGGGCTCATTTCTGTGCTTTTATAGTTCAAATGTGCAGCTCTTACAGAATTTATGAATGTATAGCACATGTCAGAAAGGTGAGACATCAGAGGCCTTGAGGCAGTGAGATAAGCTCTCAGTGTGTGACTCTGAAGCCTAAACATCAGCCACTGGCAGCCTCTGTAGAGCGATGCATCCTCCTGCCTTCCTCCTGACCCTGTTCAGCGGCTGCTACTCTCACTCTGCCCAGGGGGGCACCCAGCACGGCCTGGCTCTGCCAACAGACCCTGCTTTTGCTGCTGGGCCTGTTTTACACGCACCCTCCCCTGGGGCTCTTCCCTATGATTTGGAGGTGGGACATAGAATCCGGCCCCCGGGCCCCGCAAACAACACATGAGGGCGCAGGTGCAGGAGAGACTGGGGGTTCACTCATGCTGCTTCTCAGTGTGGTGCCCGCTGGTGCGCAAGCTCCATGTGGGCAGGGACGGCGGACCTGGTGCTCCTTGACACCTCGGATAGGAGTGTCCAGTGTGTTCTCCTGATGACGTTTTCCGCCGCGGAGTGTGTGTTGGCTGTGTGCAGGGGGACGCAGCTGGCTGGCTGATGTTTCACGCTGCCCTTTTTGTCTCTGTCTCAATGGTGTGCGTCCAGCACCAGCCACGGAAGGGACGGAAGGAAGAGGCTGCTGGGATGTGGATCCCGGGATCCAGGGCGTGCTAACCCGCTTGGCAGCCTCCGATGCGGGGGAGAAGGTATGGCTAACCATTCCTTAGTAAACGCCGCGGTTTCTTTGTACAGTGAAAGCGCCCCGGTCCTGCCCTTCCCATGGCAGTGCGTGGTATGAAAGTGCTTTCCTGAACTGTTCTTGATTTCCTTCAGTATTCACATGTAGGCTTTCTAACATTTCTTCTGTTCTTGTTCTTCCTGCACGTGCAGGTGTAGACAAAAACAATTGGAAAGTTATTTTTACAAAAGATTGAAATCTCTTATGTGTGCATGTTTATCTGACTCTGTGCTTCCGGGCTTTACTTTCCTCACCACAGTTTCGCCGCCCGCCCCACCCGCCTGGCGCCTCTGCCGCGAGGAGCGCTGGGCCCGGACCTCACACAGCCATGTGGCGCCGATGTAGCAGGGGTGGCTTCACCTTCGGGGTGTCCCTGCTCCTTCTCCTTCCTCACCTTCTGCTCTTTCTCCAGTTGTTGTCCCATCACTGCTCACATGTTTACTGCTTTTGGTTCATTTTTAATTCGTGAAACCATCTTTCACTTTCAAGAGTGAGGTTGTTCCAAGGGCTGCTTCTCTTTCAGCACATTGTGTGCATAGCGTATACCTCACTTTAAAAATTAAACACAAGCAGTTTCCTCCTAACTTCAAGTAAAATTGTCAAGTGTCATAAATAGGGGAAGAATTAAACTGTGATTCTGGGAGTTGGCAAATCAACCTTCTCAGGGTTATCTGGGGTGTGAGAGTTTGCCTTTGTCTAAAATTGAATTAGGTCCCTTACTAAATACTAAAATGTACCAACATAGAAATATATATACACATATACACACACATATTTATGATGCAGCATATGTCAGATCTTCTCTTATAGATGTAACATACTTTGCATATTATTTTCTGTAAATATTACACATAACAGAGAAACCCAGTCCAAGGATTTAAAGAATCCATGGAATAGACTGCTGTCATTTGGCATTCTTCTTCAAACTTCATAGGCTAAGAAGTGAATGCGTTATTTCATTGTAAGCCTTATAATTTATTTGTCTTATGTGCTTCCTGCTTTCTATCTTTTTTTAAGTTCAGACTTTTAAGTCTGAAGTTTGTAGTTTTCAACTTCTTTGATGTTATTAGGAGAGAGACCAAGAAGGTGAGCTGCTCAGGAATAGTCTCGTCCGGAAGGGAGAGCTGTGGTGGACCCACTCCCGGCTCAGTCACAGGTGGCTACGTGAGATCAAATGTCCAGGTTCCTCTTTGAATTAACCTGTCTGGAAAATTTGGCCCTTAATTAATAAGACATTTTGAGAAACTGAGTAAATTCAGATATAGGAAAAGATCACCAGAAATCAAACTTCTAAAAGTATACCATGGATATTTGTCATTAGCTCCCTTAATAAGGTAAGGCTAAAGCAAATTTCTGAAAGAATTAAAGAAAAATTAAATGTGTAACCCGAACATCAGAAATCCTAACTCATCAGCTGCAGTTACAGGCTTAGACCACCAGGTGGCAGACAAACTCCGTTTAAGAAGAATATGCGCATCCTGCGTTGTATTAAACTGGTTCCTGGTACAAGTAACTACATGTAGCCCAATCCAACTCATTGCTACATGTCTAATTTTTATGGAGTATAAAAATTAATACCAGATGGTCTCACCGCAAATGCAAACATATATGGACGGGCAAGGACAGAATCAGAAAAAAACTGAACACTCTAAATCTCACGACGGGACAGGGGTTCTTAGTCCTGATGTCTCCTCCCGGATTGGACACAGATCTAATCCCTTTAAGCTCCTCTCCTTTTCCAGCCTTTGTCCTCTCCCAATCATGCGGACTTCTTAGGAATGAAATATTTAATTGTGGCAGAAGAGGGATGACGAAAGCTAGGTGGCTCGTTATCAGCCTGAGCTAGTTGCATTTAGCCTCAGTTGGAAGTTACCTGAGAACTTTACCATGGCTGATTGCCTTTTACAGCTTAAAATGAGACCTGCTCAGAAAAGAGCCAGCAGCATAATGGAGGCTACAGACTCGGGGGGCCGGGGCTGTGACGAGGTCCCGCAGCGTACGGCGTGGAGTGTGTAGGGGGTGATCGGCACTTCCTTACCGGATGTGCTGCCAGAGTCACACTGCTGTTCACGGGTGAAGGGTCCATCACATCCAGGCATCCCCTCATTTTGCAGATAGAATACTGAATACATAGATAAAGTCTTGCTATGCATTAGCTTACATCAGAGTGGGAGATGACAGACAGTACATGATTGAACGAATGTTTAATTCAGTTCTGGAAACTGAAAATCCTCAGAATCCACATGTTCCCTTAATGTGTGCTTCGGGAGAGATGAAACACGAAGCATAGACCATCCTCAAGAAGCAGGCAGACCCTGCGGCCTTATTTGTGGGCTTTGCACGGGTCCATGAACTGTAATGGCGTAGGATCTGGAGGAGGCCAGCTCAGTGATCCCTTTGGGCTGTCTCTGGGTCTGGTTTCTTTTCTCAGGCACTGGCTGTGTTGTCATCATAAGTCACAAACTCTGAGTCAGAGAGCCAGAGGCCTGGCACGATGCTCCCTAGCTTTCAAGACTAGTCTCCAGGACACAAGATTGGCATGGCCTGGGAGACAGCCACTGCCACTGCCTGGGCACGGACCGCTCTGTGGGTGGTGTGTTTGCTCACGCCAAGACCATCGCCTAGAATGTGCACATCTTCCTGGCTGCCCTCCCTCCTGGGTTGAAGGTGGCTCCCTAAGGCCTCCCTGCACTGCTAGCCCCAGCTTTTGGTGGGGAGGGTTCTCAGTGTTAAGGGGGTGCTGAATCCCGCAGGCTGCTCTTGCAGGGAGGAGACAGAGTCGCTGTAGATGAGGTCATCGAGTTTAGAGAGTGCGCATCATGCTCTCGAAAGCTGGAGTGGTCCTTCATCTCCTTGTGCTTTCGTGTATTGTAGGTGGAGCGTCGAAGTTTCCCAGGGTCTTCCCAGGCAGAGGTGAGCGACGCCTGCTTTAAACATATCCCCATTCTTTCTCAATTTGGGGATAAAGAGCATGGTTCTAAAAGTTTGACCCATGTCCTCTTATTTTTCAGATTGTACAAGCTATACAGAACTTAACTCGTCTCTTATACAGCCTTCAGGTAATGCCCCCCTCTCCCCTTTGGGCCTTGTGCATGTTTCTGTCAGTACAGCTCACTTGGGTGATCCCCACACTGGGACAGTTAGTGCACCTGAGAGGCGGTGAGCGATCTTAGGAGAATGCCGGTCCCCGAGGTGTGATTCAGCGCGAGGAGCTGAACTTCACCTGGATTTGTAGGCACGGGGCAACACCACCACTACTGCATTTTATGGACACATTTCTTCTCAGAAACCGTAAAGCAGTCCATATGTTTAAAAGGTAGCGAACGTCAGGCTCTGGCTCAACATTCACAGTGGAGCTCTCAGGTGCGTGTAGCATGGTTTCATGCTTTCTGGTGAAAACTTAAATTCACACCTACCCTGGTTCCATTTCCGTAAGTGGCCTTTGGTCTAAGAGCCGCTGAGGCCTTCCTGCTTCTGTGTGTTCACCACTGCACATTTCTGGAGACTCTGTCTGTGGGGGCCCAGTGCCGAGGGCCGAGCCCACAAAAACTAATAACCTCAGAGCCTGCCTCAAGGGATTGTTTATCTCTCAAGAAAATTGGGTAAAATTATGCCTGCCCTGGGGAGTAGCATCTGCACGTTTCCTCAGGCCAGGCTCAAGAAAGAAGCTTCATGGACCCATTTGCTTAATTGACTGACTAAATTTTTTAATGCTATAAAGTCAGCGTTATATTGTAGAAAGATTTGTGGGAAAACTTAGGAATATAAGTAAATGAAATGACTTCCGATTCTATATTGAAATATTGAGTTCCTAGTATAGGGAGAGTCGCAGTCATGCTGGGGCACATTCCTTCACCTTTTAGGTTGTTCCACGTGCACTTTTGGTGACATCTACCTTTCTGGCCACCAGCTATTATTGTATAAGCATGATTTGTAATGAATATATAATATTTGAGTCAAATTCTTGTTCTTTACATTCTTGTGTTATTAATGACAAAATGTGGACAGTCTTGTGTATCCGTCCTTTGACTATATCTAAATGTTCCTTTTGACTTCATCTACATGTTTCCTAGGCCAAACTACTAGAATTGGGTTTTGTTTTTTTTTTGTTTTGTTTTTTTTGTTTGTTTTTTTTTCTGGTACCAGGAATCAAACTCAGGACCTCGTACTTGCCAGACAGACACTGTGCCCCTGAGCTAAATCCCCAACCCCTTGAACTGGGTTTTTTAGGTGCCTAATGAACATTGAAAAAATAATGAAATTGAACAACCTTCTTTCTCCTCATTTTGAAAATGGATCAAGATGTCTGATTACTTTAATTTGTACTTCTTTGATTGCTAGTGAGACTAAACTCTTCTCTCATTGGCTTAGCATTCATTCAAATTTCTTATGTCTTACCAAAACAATTAAAATGAAATTTTATTATCATCATGAACTAAATTAGAGACAATGGGCGCTTTTGCCATGGTCAGTTCTACTACCTAAGAATATGGATCAGCCATCTCTTATTTTATGTTCTGTCTGAAAGATTTACAGTTGTCTTCATGCAGGTTATATGTACAATTACATGGATAACTTCCCCAATTATTATTGGGGTTATTGCTGACATAAAGAAAAGTAATAGTTTTTATATATTTCTTTTGTAGCTGCCCAACGTATTAAACTTTATTTTTATCTTAATAGCTTCTTCATTGAGTCTTTGACATATTCCAGTTGGGAAATAAAAGTTGGAAAGGAGCGGTATTATGGCTACTCTTCAATAATTACATCAGTTTCACTTTCTTGCTTTATTGCTTTAGCAAGAACTTCTGAAAACATGTTAGCTAACAGTGGTGAAGGCAAGGCCCTTGTCGGGGTCGAAGTTCTGTGAGAAGGCCTTTAATGTCTTACATCAGATACATTAGTCTGAGGTCGATGTTCTTAAAGCTAAATTGATCTTGTAAAACAAATATACTTTCTTTTAAGTGTCAAGATAGGAAGAGTATAGTTAGAGCATAATCCATTAAATCTTGGGGGTTGAAAATCTCCATCATCCTGGCTTTTGTTGCCTGCTGAAAACACTCACAAGATCATCTCTCTTCCTCAGCCCTGTGAGGATTGCAGGTTCACAAAGTCCAGCAACCTCAGTGAGCTCATTTTTGCAGCCGGTTAGGTTAAAGCCATGTGGGAGATATCAGAGTCCCCCGTGGATTCTGTGAGCCCAGCGTTTTGAGCTGGCCTGCTGACTTGGGCTCTGGAAGATGTCTGTTCACAGAAGTCATTTCTTTATGTGCTGAGTCTTTTATGTGCGCTTGAAGTTTTCACATAGGCATGTCAGAATGCGATGGAAATGTAATTGGATTCCTGTGTCAGAAGAGGAGAACAAGAGAAAAATATAGACAAGGTAAAAAGGAAAAGACAGAGGCGTATGAGCAAAATGGAGTGAAGAGAGGGTGAATTGGGAAGCACTTAAATGTTTGCCCTAAATACAAATGTCATCTTTAAATGTGGAAATGAATATCCAGTCTTCAGATTCCACCTGTGTTCCATGGAAGACAATGACCTTATTCCAGATGTTAAGTAGGCATGAAAAATTCTTCATAATCACTGAGATGTCCTAAATATAATCTTTACATGAGAGTTATTGTGTATCATGTATGTGTCCTTTTGATATATAAAATTTGAATTTTATTTGTTTTACCAAACTGTTGCCCTTAGAGTTCATTGGAGTTAGTAATGGTGTAGTCTGCTGCATGATTATGCTTATTTTATTAGTATTTACTATATGTTAATTATTTCATATTTAGCAAGCACAGTAACCAGTATCTGTTGTCAATGATAATCACTGTCCTCTGTAACAACTTCTATAAACCATTAATATTCAAGTGAGGCTGGATGTTTAAAATTAATTTTCAGATTCAAAAAATATGAACTTTATTTCAGAAGACCCCAATAAATACCTTTTCCAGCTTTACCCCACATCAAATAGGAGAGTTAACTTTCTTTAACTGTCAAAAGTACACTAAACTACTGATTTAACAAAGAATTGGTAGCGAAATCCTGATCTTCTCAACCTCTGTTACATGTACAGAATTTAAAAATTCTCAGCAAGGAAAAATGTGATTTTATTCCTAGCGGGGCAGCAGTTTCTCATTCTGAGTCAGAGTGCACACATACCCACTGCGTGTCTGCTTTTAGCTTGCCCTTTCTGTACTGCTTTGCATTTTAAGTGGGAACTTTTAAAACTAAACGCTTCCATGGGTGTTCTAGGAGATTTTTCTGATTTGGTTTAGTGGCATCTTTCCAAGCCTTGGCGATTATTTCCTGTGACGCTGCCAAACTTTTCCTAGGCAGACACTGTAACTCAAAATGTTCTTTAATCTTTTGGTAATGTCCTGTGGGATTTAGAGTATCTCCTTTCCTTAATCATCCCAGCCTCCTGTTAGCAATCTATTAAACAAATGAATTTCAGCTTGGTTCTCAATGCGTGGCCTTTCTGCTATACGTGCAAAGCCAGCAAGGAGGCCAGCTTTAGCTACTTATGATCTCTTAAAAATAATATTACCTTCTATGCTGTGGCATTGTGTTATAAAAAGATCATTTACCCAAAGTCTCCAAATAGTTGGCTTATTTTTATATCTTCGTGAAAGCAACACTTGTAACTCTGGTAATGTCTCTTTGGGGTCTCAAATAAAGGCTGTTCTTAGGTTTGTACAGATTCTTAAATTCCTATGAATTATTGACTGGGCAGACTTCAGGAAGAGATTGAGGTGTGGAACAAGAATGTAGAGTCTTGTAATTCTGCGTTCTGAGTGCTTACTCAGAACTTACCTAAATATTAATCAATAACCAGCAACCAATAGACTCATTTCCAAAGGAAATGAGTATAATCTACCTTCTGTAGATACCTATACTGTATCCTTTGATTCAGCCAAACCTGGTTAGGAAAAAAAGTCCACAAAAGCTCCAAAACCCAGAACTTGACTTTCTTTTTTTTAGAAGGCTACACTGAATCTTTGTGAATGAAGTGATGTGTAGGCAACCGTCTTGGGTAGCACTAGTAATCTAGAGGTGCTTCAAAGTATGTGAGAGAATGTGCCTGGGTTATACTGAAAATACTCAGCCATCTTACATAAAGAGTTTAGCATCCTTGGATTTTTGTATCCATGAGAAGCTGGAAGCACTCCCTTTCAGAGAGCAAGAATAACAGGATTGATATTGTGCTTTATTTCTTCTCTATATAAATTCCTAGGTCCTTCCACTAGGAAATACAGACAAGTCTATGTAAAATGCTGAAGTCTGTCTTTGGATGTGTCCTGGGAAAAGGGCAGAGTGTTAAGAGGAAATCGTTGTATTGTACTTTTTGAGCTCAGAAGCACTTCAGCCCAAGGGGCACAGGGTAGGACCCCTGACTTCATTCATTTGCCCTCCTCTGCCCTGCAGGCTGCCTTGACCATCCAGGACAGCCACATCGAGATCCACAAACTGGTCCTCCAGCAGCAGGAGAGCCTGGCCCCTGGCCACTCTTTCCTGGGCGGCCCCTTCCAGGACCAGGAGAAGTCGCACAGCCTGGAGAAGCAGCGTGAAGAGCTGGCCGACGTCCACAAGCTCCAGCACCAGCTGCAGCAGGAACAGAGGCGCTGGCTGCGCACCTGCGCGCAGCAGCAGCGGGAGCAGGAGGCCAAGGAGAGCTGGCTGCAGGCGCGGGAGCGGGAGTGCCAGTCGCAGGAGGAGCTGCTGCTGCGGAACCGCGGCGAGCTGGAGCACCAGCTGCAGGAGTACCGGCAGAACCTGGAGCGGCTGAGAGAGGGCCAGCGCCTGGTGGAGCAGGAGAAGGAGAGGGTGAGAGCGCAGCAGGGCCTGCTGGGCCCCTGGAGGCACAGTCGGCAGCGGAGCCTCCCTGCAGCCTTCCCTTCCTGCCCATCTGGGAGCGAGGAGGTAGGCCCTGCCCCTGCGTCCTGCGAGGCTGGGCCCTGCCTGAGGCCTTGGTGCCGGTTCTCAGCAGGGGCGCCCAAGCCTCTCTCAATCTGTAGATAGAGCCGGGAGCTTTTAGAAATGATGCTGGAACGTCTTAAGCTGAAATACGGAAAATGGAAAAGCCTGGGTCTTAATGGGCCGCTGTACTCTGAGACACCCTAACCTAAGGAGGATCGCAGGACTGAGCTGTCCCTGAAAGATTGGGGGGCTGGTTCTGGAGCCACAGGAATTGTGAGCTGGCATGTCTCCATTATTTTAAGGACCTTGTATGTAGGATCTGCTCTTATGGATGGAGAACATTCTCCCATATTCTGTGGTACATGGGCCTTTTAGTAGGTGAATCAGTTGTTAATGTATATTGTAAGTGCTGAACAGAGCAGGCATAACACTGCTCTGTTACAACAGGGTCGGTCTCTCTTTGTGAACTGGACATAGAAATTCAAAATCCACTTGCTAGTACTAGTTATGAGGTGTGCTGATTACTGGCCAAATAGGATAAAACCTTCCGGAGAATTCTGTGATCCTTTGCGTCTTCTCCAACCATGCTACGCATTAAGTGTTTATTTTCTTGCACTATGTGCATTGCACGTGTGCTTCTTACTGGTAGTGTATAAAGTTATGAGAATTAATAGGTTTATTAATTAAGAACTGTGCTGTACTGTTTCTTTTTAAATTCATTAAATACACTTGGCACAGATTCCTCATTTTTATATAGATATATTTGCAACTTTTTTAATTTAGCAAAATCAGACTTGATACTTTCTCTGATTTAAAGAGGACGTCTTTAATGGTAAGCATACTATGCCTTTTAAGAAAGGTATAGTGCGTAGTGACTTGAAGTGTTTGGTTCCAGTTCATTTAAAGGAGGTGAGAAGGGAGAGTAAATAGTAATATTCTTCCTGACCTCACTCTTACTGAAATCTGAATTGCTAGATTCTATTAGAAATAAATACAGAACTTGTGTGCACTGCTGGAGAAATTATTGTACTCTTTCTGTATTTCTTTATACAGGTAATGGAACTTAATCGATCTGAGAGTTTGTGTCATGAAAATTCATTCTTCGTCAATGAAGCTTTAGTACAAATGTCACTTAATACTTTCAGTAAGCCGAATCCATCAGGTACCTACCAAGATGTCACCTGCTTTACACACATTCCCAGCTCTGATTTGGTAAGGACTAGTGAAAATCAAATAGACTTCAAGACAGACAGTTGTCAGCCTTCAGATGTCAACCATGAACTGTGGACAGCCGCCGGGCCTTGCCATCAGATACCTCCTCTCCAGGACAGCAACAAGGATTCTTGTCAAAATGGTAATTAACACTTTACATATCACCTGTAGGGTTCCAACAGGAAGTTGTTTCTCTGGCTCCTCTGAAGAACAAATCAAAGTTGGCCCTAGTGTGGGAGTAAATTGGTGTCATGCACTAGACTTTGTGGCATAAACCTATTTTGTGAAGTCTGAGGATTTCCTTCATTGGACAGGATCTAGGCCAGGGGAACCGTGTTTGTAGGGCTCAGAGCCGTGATGGCAAACTTCTGGCACGTGTGCCACAGCTAGCTGTTTGTTATCATGGAAAGCTTGAAAAGGTTCTTCATCATGAGCTCAGAGAATACGACCAATGTGATAATGTCCCCTTACAAGCAAAGCAACTTGATATTTATTCCCCACTGTAGGCTTTACAATGCATATCCAATGATTCTCAGAAATAAAAGCTATGAACAGGGTTTGTGGTAGGATTTTATTGTCTATCACATCAGTTTCCTGTCATGTTAGTGAAATCTTCTGTAGCACTATTAAACACCCCAAATGAAACTGTTAACATCATTTGCCATTGTAAAAAAAGGTGTTATCTCTCCATACGTACTTCGTAATAACACAACTTGCTAATCCCATTAAAGAATTTGCCAAATATAAAGGAAGGGAAGCTCAGGTTTCCAGCTCCACGTGAATCCAAGCGATTTAAATCTGTCTGTTATAAATTGTTTTCTGTGGGATATGAGGTAGGGAATGAGAAAAACTTGAAACCTCTCTACTGAAAAACAGATGGTACGCAATAGAATAAACAAATGGCCAGCCACATGGAAGTGACATAAATCACCAACATCACAATTTTCAGAAACATAAAACAAGCAGCAGAATAGAGATCTTCAGAGCTGGACACAGATTTGTTTCCATGCCTAATATATATTCTTAGTTTGTCAGCTGGGGGGATAATTTTTCAGCAACAAAAAGTTTTGAAGGTCTCCAGCTTCTTCCAATTAGGGAGTAATAATTCTGACACTGCCTGTGACTTGATTTATTACTGATCCCCAAGAGATTGGTTTTAGTAGTGGGTCATGCGTACTAAGTCACCCCTTAGTGACTGCTGTAACGTTCTTAATTCTTATCAGCATATAGTAGAGAATGAAATAGTTCTTTAAAGTGTCACTTTAAATGTTCTTTAAGTGAAATATATAATGAAATAATTTGGGTTAAAAAAGGCTCAAGCAAAAATTTAGAAAAAGTAACCCCTACAATATATTATCTTACAATTTAGTACAATGGAGACCATGTTACAGAATACTTTCCTAGGCCCATGTAGCTTTGCTGTGTCGATTCATTATTTTGCTATTTACAGGGCTTTGTGTGTTTTTGTGAGTGTGGTTTTGCATCCTGGCTCCAGTATAATTCAGAAACTCAGCTTGAGTTAAACCACACTCAACTTTTGTTTAAGAGAAGCATTTCTCTTTTTCTTTTTGTGTATCTGCCATCTTGCTCACTGCCTTGTGCTGCAGAGTAGAAAGCTTTTAAAGACTTGGCAGCACATTTTCTGTAGATAAAAAAAGTACTAAGGAAATAAACAGTGACTATATGTAGAACCATTCTATCCCATGTAAAGAGTTAGAGCCAAGAGAAATGCTGAGAAGTGGACTTACGCTTAAAAAATTGTGTATCCAGTGCAGGCCAAGGGCACCCGGGACAGGGATGGGAGGGAGGAAGTCAACTTTGGCCTACGCGTCTCAGGAGCGCCTTGGTGTTTCTAAGTAGGGATTAGATCAGAAATGCTTGGCGCACCGTTAACCACTGGAATTTTGCAACTAGTCAGAAACCCTATTTGTGTTTGTTTGCATAAGCATGGTAAGCAATTTCTGGAGGAGAGAAAAGAGTCAGAGGCTAGGAAGGGCTACTAGGGAAGTGGATCAAAATGGGATATATTTCTTAGGAGTGTGGTTGGGCCCAGATAAAATTGTTCAGCCCATCCCAGAGCTTTGCAAGCTTTTATAGGGAGAAGCAGCACATTTGCAGCCTCTGGAGGCGTTGGGGAGCTGGGTTCCACGAGTGCGTGCCACACCGCTCCTGTGGGGGCGGACAGGGAGCCAGCCCAGCTGGCAAAAGCAGCTCCAGGTGTGCTGTGTGGTGAGGAGGCAGGCAGGATGTGGGAGTCCAGGCAGGGTGGTCCTCTCCTTTCATGCTGCTCCTAAGACTTGGAGTCAGTGGTCATCAGTGACCACTACTGTGGACTTGTGTGGGCCACAGTATTCTGGCCCAAAACATTTACCTATAATGTTCTGGGCTAGGATTCGGTTAATGCAGTTAATCATGGCTTGATTAAAGCTGTGCTGACTATTTCATTTTTAGGCCCTAAGGTCAACTGTTTTTAGAACGGTTTGCACTCTTGCCTGGTTTGTTCCCATGTAGATGATCCCAGCTCAGACTAGTGGAGATGTGAATTTCTGGGATAGTAAAGCTGATTCATGGGTGGGGGTTGTATATAATCAAAATTCATGAGTGTGTTTAGAAGTCACCTAGTTTAGAATTTTTATTGGTATTTTTCACTCTAACCTCACCAGACATTGTGTGTACTCTTTGTGTTCTAATTTTTATTAGTTTTTAAATTGCTCTACCACTAGCACCAACAATTACATGACGTCAGATTTCAGTCACCGAGCAAAGGTTTTACATGGAGAAACTGACATAATACAACAGCTCACTGTCCTGCTTCTGTCATCTCCATTTGAGAAGGGAAATTGGGATGCAGAAAAATTAAGCAACTTGTCCGAGTCACACAGCTAGCAAATGGAAGAGCCAGGAATTGAACTCAAGACTGGCTCTGGAGCTCATGATCTCAATCTTTGCTTTATAAGTTATTAATTTCTAGAGAGCTGGGTTGATTTATACTTTTAAGTAAATTGGAGGAGATACAGAATAAATCCTTTTTTAATGTCTGGCAGTATGCTCATAATTAAGGGCCAGGCTTTTGTTTTGGTCCACCCCTGCCTTTCTTTTAATATTACCATTTGGAAACTATTTCTGAATGTTTTGGATAGCTGTAGCCAACTCCTGCATGGGGCTGAGCCTCTTCAGATATCCTAAATGCCCCGTGGCTGCACATTCCCCACAAGGCTCATTTTCCTAAGGATATTTTGTTTCTCTAACATTGAGTAATAACCCCATGTTACTTGTAAATATTTTAAACTGGCACTTTAAAGAAGTTTACTCTCTAGTTTTAGAAATTATTTCCAAAATTCTTGGATATTTGAATATTAAATGCAAATTGGAATTTGATATTTTATTTTAAAGAGAAAAAACAATAAAAACAATGATACAAAATTTCAAAACGATTATAGGAGGTTAACAATGGTTAATACATATTTTATATGCAATGGTTAATTATGTATTGTTATCTTCAAATTAGTTGCTCAGATTATAAGATATAGGTGTGAAAAATGATCAGACAATATAAGCACAAACATTTCTTTTCAATGGACTAATAGAAATTAGTAATATAATTATCTTAGCTTTTTTGTGTGTGTGTGTGTGTGTGTGTATTCCTTCTTTTCTCTTTTCCCCCATCCCAGTTGTTTCCTTTTGAACAGTTTTTTCCCATTTCACAATATCTATTGTACATTTTGGATCTTATTTACTCTTTCAGCTTCTTACACTAGGGACATAAAATAATGTTTACACATGTGAGTCTGATTTATTTCACTTATGAGTATGGTCTCTAGTTGCATCCATTTACCTATAAAAGCCTTGAGTTTGTCTTTCTTTATAGCTGAGTAATACTCCATTGTATAAAAATACCATGTTTTTGATCTATTCTTCAGTTAATGGGCATTTGGATTGTTTCCAAGATTTAGCTATTATAAATTGTGCTGCTATAAACATGGGTGCACATATATTCCTGTGATGTGATGTTTTTAATTCTTCTGGGAAAATACCCCGTAAGGAAATAGCTGGGTCAAATGGGACCTCTAATCCTAGTTTTTTGAGGAATCTCCACACTGATTTCTACAGTGGTTGCACCAGTCTACACTCCCACCAACAATGGAGAAGGGTTCCTTTTCCCACATAGACTGGCCAGCGTTTGTTTTTGGTTGATTTCTTGGTGACAGCCGTTCTTTCCAGGGTGAGGTGGAATCTCTGTTGTTTTAATTTGCATCTCTCAGATGACTAATGATGTTGAACATTTTTTCATATATTTATTGGCCATTTGTATTTCTTCATCTGAGAAGTGTGTATTCATCCCAGATGCCCATTTTTGGATTGGGTCTTTGAATTGGGGGACCTGATTTTTTTCAGTTCTTTATGTGTTCTAGATAGAAGCCCTTTGTCAGATGGACAGTTGGCTAACATTTCTTCCCACTCTGTGGGCTGTCTTTTCACTCACTTAGTGATTTCTTTTGATGTGCAAAAACATTTTAATAAGATGAGATCCCAGTTATTGATTCTTTGAAGTACATCCCATGCAGTTTGGTTTTTGTTCATGAACTCTGTACCTATCCCTATGTCTTTAAGACTTCCACCTACTTACTCTTCCATTAGATCTAGTGTTTTGGTTTTAATGTTTAGATCTTTAAGCCATTTTGACTTTATTTTGGTGCATGGTGATAGCTTGGGTCTAGTTTTAGTCTTTGGCATGTGGAAAGCCAGTTTTTCCAGCACTATTTATTAAAGAGGCTATCTTTCTTTCAGTGAAGATGTTTGGCCCCTTTGTCCAAGATAAGATGGCTGAGTGTGTTTGTAGTTGTGTCTGCATCTTCCAATCTGTTCCACTGATCCTCATGCTGATTTTATCACAGTAGCTCTGCAATGTAATTTCAAGTCAAGGATTTTGATGCCTCCTGCTTTGTTGCCTAGGTTTACCTTTGCTATTCTAGGTCCCTTCTTTTCCAAATGAATTTTAGGAATGTTTTCTCTAGATCTGCGAGGTATGCTAATGGTATTTTGATTGAGATTGCATTAAATCTGTATAACAGTTTTAGGAATATGGCCATTTTCATAATGTTGGCTCTGCCTCTCCATGAGCAGGGTTTATCTTTCCATTGT